ATCCCCATCCCCACCATTTGAGGAGTCAATCAGTGGATGGGATCTCTCTCTCTCTCTGACTCTCAAATAAAAGAAATAAAAAACTTTTTAAAAAGTACACAAAATATAATTATGTGGGTTACAGAATCACAATGTTAAGCTCAACTTCTAGGCATCGAGCTTGGGAGAACGAGACCCTGGGACTGTTAATGGCCATCTCTGGATGGACTCAGGTGAAGTAAATTCTTGAACTCAAGGCCCCTTGCTAGTGGAAACCTTTGGCTCCTAGACCTACGGTGAAAGTCAGATATTAGCATGTTTCCAGGAAGAAAAATGAAAAGTCTGACCAGGAAAGAATTAGGTTATACTTCAAAAGAATGACAACAATTTGGTAATTTATATAGGTAAAAATATCAGAATTACTGTGGGAATGGAATAAAAGGAAGATACAATAGAACATTAAATCAAGCCAAATGTGTGGAATTGGGTGCACTTATGTTAATGTGTTAGCTTATCCAGCCAGACATGGCCCTAATGGTTTTCTTGACAAATTTAATGAAATGTGCACTTACTGGTGGCCTCTGTTCAATGTGCTGAGATGCCAGAACCTCCTGGGGGTAACATAGAATAATAGTTCCCAGACTTAGGGAGGTAGGAATGTGGGTTTATGTGGGTGAAGAACACCCAGCCCTAGCTCCCGAGATCTAGACAACAACCTCTTCACTGAGGTTATTAGGAAACATACCAAAAAGGGACCCCAGTATTCTTGCAAGGCTCCTTGTGGCTCCCTCTTTAGGCTGGGGCTGACTGTGGCTGCTGCTGCTGCTGCTGAGATGGGTCCCACCAGGAAGAGAAACTACGCAACAGGGAGAAGGCAACATGGGAACTGGTTACACCAGGGCTGGAGGGCTGAGTGAGGAAAAGGTTATTAACTGAGGTCATGCAGAAGCAAGAACCCAGGGAGAAGCTAACGCGAGTAGGGTGGATGGAACAAAGGGGAGCTGGGGTTACAGACCTGGAAGCTGCAGGAAGATCCCTGGAGGCTGTGAACCCACTGCTGGGCCATCAGGTTAGGACCACAAGTAGCCTCCAAGGAAGGAAGCTCCCTCCTTCTTCCTCCTGTTTCCCCTTCCCTCCCAGGGACCCCTTCTTGGCAAAACCCCATAGAAAACCAGCTCGTAAAGGAACAGTCTAGTTGTAGATTCCCTACACAAATCAGAACATCAAACAGTAGATTTGAAATGAAGGATAATAGTTAGAACTTGCTAGAAAGAACTAGAACTTGCCTGATCCCCCTCTACTTTAAAAAGCAAGCTCTGCAAACACAGGGTCTTCAGTGGACTCCCTTCCCCTTGCCAGAGCCATACAGGACTCAGTAAATATTTGTTGAACACCATGGAGGGTGTTACTATATCCTTGTGACAATGCAATCCATTGTGGATCTCAGACCTCAACACTTATGAAAACAGCATTCAATTATTGTGTTTTATGTATCTAGCTAGAAAGTTTTTTCCATTCCACACAGGGTGATTTAGGACAGTCATATCAGGGGAGTAGAGCCTACCTTAGTCTAAGTGGAGTAGCCTCTCGCTGTCAGTGGTTTGATGAATAGCGGTACTGAGAGAAGCTTAACTGCTCCTGTAAAATATCTTTAAAAAAAAAAAATCATTGCTGAGAGGCAGGGATCAGCTTCCATGGTGATGTGGGGATCTGAGGAGCTTGCAGATAAAGAATATAATGCAGGTTCTCAGAGACTTACAAGGTCTTTCTAAAAATAAACCAGCAATCAGAAGAAAACCTCAGCATTTGCACCTAACATCTCACCCAAATAAGGTGGCAGTGATGATGTCTGTTCCAAGAAGCTAATGATATTAGCTGAGGGACTGATTACACGGATCACTGGAGAAAGGGCCAGAACACAGAGGTCTCGGATCAGAAAGGACAGCAATGGCCAGATGTGTAATGAGGACAAAGAACGTTGAAGAATGGCCTTAAAATGGTGTTGATACCGAAACGTTCCTCCCAGAATTATCTATGTCAAATTAATTACCCTCCCCTAGCCTTTTCCTTTCCACTGAAATAAAAACGATAACGAGCAACACTGCTTTGCAAGATGTAAATCAAAGCTTTTCCTTTGAAATACTCAGAACTCAATCAATGACATTATGCGCTGTGCATGAAAAGACTCCAACATTAACAACTGTGCAAACTTATTTTTATTTCAATGTCAAATTCCAAAGAAAAATACTCAGAAATTGCTGCACACATTTGAATCTGCAGCTTTTATTTTTGGAATATGGTTTTAAACCCAAGTTCCAATGAGTCACGTGGACTCTGGCCAACAGTATTTCCAGAGGAAGGTTAATTTCAAGCTGCATCACACTGGATCGTTTTATGGAAAATGGAACCTATTTATTGTCAAGGAGCTCAAGGTGCACGGATTATTGGGGCAATGTTTATATTCTAAAAGTTGACGTCTTCTTGTTTCATTTCTGTTGAAGCAGTTTAAGAAAGAGGTGTTCTATTTTCTAATCGTTTCTAAAACACAATGGAAATAGACAACAGGACACTGAAATAATTGCATCCAATAAAGATTACAGAACCATAAAGTGCTGTGACTTACTACATTGATAAGAGTAACAGGATAAAGAGATTTAAGCAGAAGAGCATTCTTTAACATGGAAGAAGAATGTTTAAGGAATGGTTAATTTGTTTCCCTCGAGAAATCTTTAGCACATGGCTCTCTTGGGAGGTCTAATCAATTAAAACCCTACATGCTACTCTACTTGTGAGTAGAATGAGGAATATATTTCTGATGTTATTACATAAATGAATCTTATCTTCAGGGCTTTGAAATATAGCTTTATCCAGACGATAGTGAATTTGTGTGCCATCTCATCTTTCTGCATTATAATAAAATTGATTTCATGGTTCCTTACTCATAAATTACAAGCCTGAGGCATCACAACCTTGAAGATGCTTTTGTTTGTCTTCCCTATCTCACAGACCGGGCCTGTCTCTTATTCCTGTTCTCTCACCTACATCTTCAAGCAGGTAATTCTTTGGGGCTAATTCAAGAAGGCAGGTGAAGGAAACAGAAGTCAGGTCTCTTCCACCTGCCTGCTAGCATGACCCCAGGCTCAGCCCTCAGTAGTGGGCTGAGCTGTGGAATGGAGACGGAGTGGGGATTTACACAGCTTGTCTCTGGACGCTTCTATGGCTTCTTAATTCCCTTGTCCTGTGTCCATCAGCCTCAGCTAGCCCTCTAACTGGACATGTGGTCACTTTGTGCCCCACCCCAGGTGAGGATAAAGAACGTTGCTCTGGTAGGAAAAAGTTTTCCCGTGCTTTCACGCTACGATCAGCAATTTCCTGCAGCTCCGAAGGCGTGGGGATTTCTCCAGGCAACAGGCCATCGATTCTGGGTGTTGGCTAACCCAGTTCAGTTCTGACACTACCTGGAGACAGCATCCGATCCACAGGTTTGAGATTCACTACCACTCCCTCCTCCCCCAAGTTTTAGATGCCGGTCATAGGTGGCTTTACCCACGCTCTGACCAACCAGCTAGCTGCACACCAGGGCTCTGCCACCCCTCCCCGGGCCTGATCAAAGTGCGTTAACAGCTCGCAGAACTCAAAGACACACTCACCCATGCTTACTGTTTTCCTATAATGGATGTTACAAAGGATACAGGTGAAGATGCACAGGGTAGGGTATGAGAGAAAGAGTGTGAACCTTCCACGCCCTCTTCACGGGCATTAGCTGCCAGGAACCTCTGTGTTCAGCTCTCTGAACTCTGTCCTTTCAGGTTTTTGTGAGGGTTCATGATCCAGGTGTGATTGCTAACAGACTAGGTGGGGAACTCAGCAAGGCCTGAGAAAATTCTTAAGCGTTCCTTTCTCCCAGGTGTGGGGCAGGACTGCTCTGGAATGAGGAGGGTCTTACGACCCACTGAGTCCCACGGCCTGTCTCGGGGAAGGAGTTCCACTTGGGATGCCCATATCTCATACTGGAGTGCGGGTGTAAGTCGTGTCTACTCCATATCTGATCCAGGAGGCAACAGCAGGTGGCCCAAGTACTTTTATGTAATTATTTAAATTCCCTTGGATTACCATTTCTCCAGGTAAAACACTGCAAAAGGGGGCTGGTATTGTGGCGTACAAGGTTAAACCTCCACCTGCAATGCTGGCATTCCATATGGGCACTGTTTTAAGCCTGTCTACTCTTCTTCTGATCCAGCTCCCTGCTGATGCACTTGGGAAAGCCGTGGAAGATGGCCCAAGTGCTTGGGTCCCTTTACACATGCGGGAGACCCGGAAGAAGCTCCTGGCTCCTGGCTTTGGATCAGCCTAGACCCGGCTGTTGTGGCATTTCGGGAGTGAACCAGTGGATGGAAGCTCTCTCCTCTCTCTGTATCTCTCTGCCTTTCAAATAAATAAATCATTATTAAACAAAGCAAAACAAAAACATTGCAACATACTAAACCAGTTTTGGACAGGGATCTAACTGGGCATTGCTAACATGACGTCTTCTCACGAAGTGGCCAAGGGCAAAGGTAATGGCAACTGCCCAGTGCCTCCCCTGGCCTCCGCGGCCCTTCCAACCTGCGGCTCTCTCTGTTTCCATCCAAAGCTGTTCTGAATCTTATTGGTGGAAAATAAATCTTTGGGGAGTTGAGATTAATAACTGGATTTTTCTCTTTCTGGGTGTATCATGTATTACTCATTTCTTTCCAATTAAAGGAGTTTGGCAAATACTCAAGTGAATGGACAAAGTCTAGAATCAAACTGTTTAAAATGTCATCCTTTTAAAGGGAAGAATTTTTTTTAAGGTATACATTCCTCTTCCAAAAATGCTGACAAATTTCTTCTGGTTCTCATCCCTGAGTCAATACTACAGTCACCCACTCACTGTGGTGCAGCCTTTGCTACCAGTAGAAAAAGTTAAAAATCATTTTCTTCGGGGTTTTATCAGTGCATAAAATATTTCTAATCAGAATTCTTCAAAAATATAAAAGACATTTTGTTTAAATTACATTATTTATTTTTTAGATTATCCCTCTTAGTCCTGCATGCATCCTTAGCACAAAAAGTTGAACTTAATCACAACTCCCTCTGCGAGAGCAGGTGCACAATCCCATCTGAAGAATTTCTGCACGGACGACCCAACAGTTCCAGATCTCGGTAACACTGTCAGTAACCTACACGACGTTCAATAGAAAAATTTACCAAATATCCTGTGTTTAATGTAAACCAGGCAGGAGGCAAAACAGAGTAGCGTAGTAACACTATTTTACAGGGCCCAGAAATATGATGCTCTATCGTGTTTTAGCACACCAAGTGTCACAATGACATGCATGTTTCAATTTACTGTACAACCCAAAATACAATTACCATATAATTTGTGATTTTAGCACTTCACTGTAACTTCTTCTGTCAATACCTATGAACTTCATAATTAAATGGTAATTGTATATTAATGCAATAATTTATAGAAATATGTTACCATGAATTTATGAAGTAATTCCATAATTTGTGCCCCATAAAATAAAGTGTAACAATCTTTACACTAGCAACAGTGTAAGCAAGCTAAGGATTTTGGTCCTTATCTCTCTCTATATACATATATACACATGTACACACACAATAATGTACAACGAAACCAAAAAGCTATGAATCCACTCACAGCTTCCATATTGCACAGATACATCATGAGAACATTACATAGTTATAATGTGAGTACTTCAATGACAATTAACTAAAACATATTTGAGTTCTATCAAGTAAAGAATGTGGCTCATTACTGAAAATAAACCCAAAGACCAAACTGTTAGAAAATTTAAAAATAAATGTGCATCCCTACTTACACAAAGGTGAAGCAAGGGTAAAATTCGGTTTAGAATTTGCCATGACAACCGGCTGCTGAGGTGGCACCTCCCACCCAACACAGTACACGCGAGTCACTGTTTTTTGCAGATATTGAGTAATAGAAATATTCAGCGTCTAAGAGACAGTAAGAAAAACACTAGTGATGGAGTACAATCGTTCACTAACAAATCCATCTCACCGTAAGAACTTGGACCGGCTCTAGGACTGAACTAAATATGAAGGAAAAAAAGAAACTTAGAAGAGAAACAAACTAAAACCTAAGCTACAGCTGATTTTAAGTCAGAACCACTACAATAACTTAGGGAAGTATATTTTTCAAAAGCAGCACACGCGCACGCGCACACACACGTACACACACAAAATAGAGGAGTTAAAGCTTTTCTGAGCTTGGTTTCATGGAATAGCTAGAAGGTCCCATTGTGAAATCAAGGATAAAAAAATATTTGGTTTGAGAGGTAACATCATTGCTAGCACGTCTACTGAGCACTATGGAAACAGTAAGAAATGTCTAATATCTCTTACACTTTCCTTTAAATACACCACATCAAAGTAGACTGTCAACTTCAGCAGAGACTGGAGATGCCGCAGAGTTCTCGGCAGGAACTGATGATCAACACGGAAAACTGAGAAACGCTTTCCCACCATTCAGAAGCATTTAAAGAGAATCCTGCGTGAAGGAACTATCTCCCACTTTTGTTTTTTCACTGCTTTACTTAATAAATTTCTTAGAATGAGCTAACGAAGATCAGAACTTAGAAATGCAGCCTTGTGTCTTAAGAGTGGTGAGCATTCTACAGCTGAGACTATTCATAATCTTTTGATAATCTGTTCTTAATAAATAGCAAAAACTAATTATGAATCAGAACAAACACAATAATACGAGCAAACGTGTGTAAAACGTGCCCGTGGACACACCACAGATGTACTCGTACGTAGGCAAGCGTGCTACGTAAGCAGCTTTTTAGTGGGGTAGCAACAGATCCTTTTAAGCTGAAACATTTGCTTTGAAGTCGGCTCCCTCAAATATCAGCGAGTGGAAAGTGCTGCTGCTTAACACTGAACTGAAACAAACAAACAAAAAACCCCAATAGTTCAAAAGCGATATCTGAGTGACACGCATCACTTCAAGGAATAACAGAAAGAGGACAAGCAGCCGCCATTCTGTAAATCACATCCAAGCACACTGTGCATCGCGCTCAACTAGGGGCTCCTACACACACACCTCGGGCATCCACACCCAACTCCCAGATTCTCTCACATGTAAACAGGACATTTAAAAGACTGTTTTCTTCTATCCCTTTAGAATCATTTAAAACAAAAGACTGAACAAAATGGGGAAATGTAAACATTAGAAGGCCATTGGCATTCTGATTGCTTCCCAAGAGTGACCAGCGGTTCCCTACCTCCACACTGCCAAGGGCTTCAGTAAGAACGTCAGTCTAAAGCAATTTTATGAAGCAAGTTTCAGAGCGGGAGAGAAAACAAAGGTTCTCAACCCAGCACATGTCAATTACCTAAAAAAAAAAATACTATTTTAGCCAACACTACCAATGATGAGCAAAAATTCAGTGTTGTTGCAAAAATGATACAATTTAAATAAACTGGGACCCTCACGTGAAAATCAGCCACTAACATAGCTATGTGCACAAAGGAGTAAAAGAACATTTCTTTAAAAATATATATTAATCAAGAATTTCTTTATCATATTAAATTGTTATTCTTAGAAAAACTGAGGAAGTTAATGGTATGCTACACTTTCTTATCACCTAGATTTAATTCATTTGATGTTTCCTGAATTGTATTTTTTTCTCATTTACAGTTTTTTCATATTTTGTTTGATAAGAATTCTAATTTTAAAAAGTTATAAAATTAGTGATTCTTTTGCTACTTTTTAATCAAAAGAATATAAGCATTTGAGTCCCAGAGAATGTCAAAATGCCTTGCTACCTAAAAGGATATTAAAATAACAGAAATATCATCAAAATTATGACATCAGAAATTTTGCAGCTTTTCACACAGTCTTTAGAAATGCTTATTTCCTGAAGTTCCTTTGATTGTAGGCTGGGTTCATCGTGCAATTTCATATGGAGAACCATTAGGATAAAGCCAATGAAAAAACACAAGATAACATTTTACCGAGTGCCCACTCAATAGGTTCTTAATGGTTCTGTCCAGTTTACGGCAATATTTCATTTTAAAGGCTTTTCATCCTCCTGCTGGATGGAACTGAGTCTTTCTGATGAAACGGACATGACAGTCCCTTTGCCCTTGTGAGTCGGAAGATGTGATTTACGGCGTGGAGGAGGCGTGGTATTTCACAAACGCGATGGCCGCCAGTTCCTTACAGAACTCCTCTAACACAATTACACCCTCCAGCAACGTGATGTGGTCAATACTGGAAAAAGCAGACAATGAATCAGTTCGAAATACCAGCCCATCATACACCCGGTGACATCTGTGGATGCAAAATAAGCAAAGCTCTGACTTACACAGGGCCTTCAGGTTCCAAACCAAGTAACCGCCTTCTGACTAACAGAAGCTTGGGGGTGAAGTCTTGAATGCGCTGAATTCGCACCATAAGCTCCCCAACAACCTGCATCAGAGACAAGAAACCCTACAATTAACTACACTGGGATTCTCAGGATAAACAGAATTTCCTTCTGTATTACTAAACAAACAACTGCAGCGTTCACTGGTCACATAACCACCTATGGCCAAGGATTCAGATCCATTATATATTAAAAGAGTGAATTCTTCTATATATAATCAATATATATATAAAATGATGAATTCTTCTCCCCATCCTATAAAGTCGCTCAAAAGGTGTAATTACTTTTAACAGTAGATATTCAATATTTTTCATCATGTGACACTAACTATATACAACAGGGGTGAGGAATGTCCAGCCCTCAGGCTGTACAAGGGCTGCAAAATCATTCGATCAAGGCAACCACCACGTGGACTCAAAATTCAACCCATCTACCGCAGGCTAATTTTTAAGCTGATAACTTTATATGGCCCATGAATGATGTTATAAATACAGAAATGGCCCTTGGCAGAAAACAAGGTTTCCTGCCCCAGCATACAGTGCTGCTAAGGTATAACTGGACACCCAGGTCTGTCTATCCTAGAGAATATAACAGAACTACCGACTCACCCTGACGATCACGGAGAAGAGCGACCGGCAGCCAGAAGCAAGGTTGACGTACGGATCCAGAAGGTACTCGTGTGTATGTGGATGAGGGAAGAGAGACAGTCTGGACAACACCGAGGTCACTTGCAAATTCACGTCATAGGGCTAGGGAGAGGCAAAACGCAGAAGGCATCTGACATCATTCACGATGCATGCACCGTGCACTGCAGTTACCAGGTCATTTCAGTCTGTCTTTCCAAGAAAGGCAAGTTCACCTTCTTGCGCCTCCCTCCACTTGCTCTTCTGCAACAGGAGCATCCGTAACTAAATTAGCCCTCACACGGTCACCAAGACACACGGGCCACAGTCCCGAAACGTCAAACAAAATCAGCACCATGCACACAGACAGAAAAGACTAATATGTAACACAGGACGCCGTTTCACACAGCTTGCTTTAATTAACAAAGCAGTTTAAGAGGACATCAAAACCTACCCAGGTGTCTTATATAATATTACAAACAACAGAGAACACATTGAGTAGAAAGTCAAAGAAATAAAAGGGAAGCTATTATATCTTTTTAAATATAGTAATATCATTTCAGAAATGATGCTCCATACCTCAGATTACTCAAATTCTGTGAATTACCAAAAGCATGTATACAATAAAATAAGCTAAAATCCTAGAACTTTATTAACAGAGCCCAAGTGCTTGGGGATAGAAATGACTACCTCTGCCTCCAAGTGAACACGAGTCCCAGCTGGCGAGCAGCTCAGGGTCACCTGGCTCACTCGTGGCAGGAGCACTAAGCGTCCCAACAGCTGCAGGGCGCACACAGCTCATCACACATATTTTGCAGGTAACATTGTGGTTTTACTTGGATTCTGTTTATTGTTCATAGAAAGCAGCAAGGAAGGGCTTCACAGAGTATGTCGACTTCAAAGGCAAGAGCAAACTGTTCAGACAGAGTTGCTATTACTTGCTGAGAATGTTCAAAAGAAGGCCCTCCCCCTTCCAACACCCTCCCGGGCAGCGGGCAGCGGGCAGGGAAACACACAGGCTGAAACCAACCCCCTCTCCCCCGCCCCCCAACCCCTGTGGGAGGAGCCTGGGTGACTGGAGAGGGGACCTGTGGGAAGGAAGAGTGACTCAGGACTCAGTGCAACGCCAGCTACAGAAGGTCTTATTCTCACCACTGAGCACTTTCTGAAACTCTGATCATAATAAAAGCCAATTAAGAAGTGACTCTTCAGCACTTAGAGGAGAAAGTGTGGCACATATCAGAGAATACCCGAGATGCTATGAGGAACCTAAGTTTAGTTACAGGAACAAAACTCAGGTCCTTGGGCCAGGCGCTGTGGTGTAGCGGGGTAAAGCCACCAACGGTTTGAGTCCCAGCTGCTCCACTTCCGATCCAGCTCTCTGCAATGGCCTGGGAAAACAGCAGAAGATGGCCCAAGTCCTTGGGCCCCTGCACCCACGTGGGAGACCGGGAAGAAGCACCTGGCTCCTGGCTTCGGACTGGCCCAGCTCCGGTCATGGCAGCCATTTGGGGAGTGAACCAGCAGATGGAAGACATCCCTCTCCCTCTCTCTCCCTCCCTCTCTCTCCTTCTGCCTCTGCCTCTCTATAATTCTGCCTTTCAAGTAATCTTTAAAAAAAAAAAAAAAGATCCTGTGCATTAAATCCAATTTTAGTCTTCCTCTTCCTTATTTACCACTCAATGCATAAACATGGACTTTTTTTTTTTGAAAGGAAAAACCTTCCCTGAGTCACTCTTCAAAATCTAAGCCTTACCAAGATAAATGGAAGGAGATACACATCCCTAATTAAGGGGTGCTAAGGAGTGTATTTCCCTCCTGGAAATATTTGCAGCGCAACAGCCTTCGCTAAGACTCAACTCATCATAAACAGTGAATTCACATCAGATGGTATTCTAGGTGCCAAGGAACCATCTACAAAAATCCACTTGAAAACAGTGCCTTTGATAAAGAATGTGGACAGCATAATTTAAAATACAACCTAAGTCCAGAACTGCACAGGAGTCATTTCAAGTAGTTAAGATTTTTCGGTCACTAAATTCTGCCATTTGTTGGTGCTTAAATAATTAAGCCAACATAATTTGACTTTAAAGGATACATTACTACTTAGCTTTCTAATGTTCTCTGCGTGGTGTTTGTTTTATAGCTTTTGTTTTAACATAAATCCAGGCCATGAGTTGTTTCAGAAATACAAGGCTGACACATATTATTAATGTTGTGAAAATGAAAGCAAATTTCAGCAAGAACTGCACTAACTATAAATAACTCTAGACTGTGACATGGTCTCTCTTTCATCTGGTAATAACTGTAAGACAAATTGGCATGTTTAGAGGCCATTAATAGGAAGTATTTGCATTAGGAATTATTTTACATTATATTTATACATTATTCACCTGAAAGGAAAGCTAATCAGATTTCTCTCACATGCCAAAGGTGTGGCTCATTTTTCAGAGCCTGCTCTAATTGTAAGGTCTGAATTTTGAGACAACAACCTTGACTTAAAAGCACACCAACGTCCTCAGCAAATGGGCAACCCTTTTTCTACATGCTAGACAAACAGACGGACAAAACAGAATGTCAGTCAAATTAAAAAAAAAAAACAACTCAATATTCTCTAAAATTTTTAATGTTTGGAACAAGAATTTGTATTCCTAAAAGTGCTTAAAATTTTTTAATTCTCACAAGCAAATCCAAGTAAGAAGACAACAGAAACTTCACTTTGACAATAAGAAAATGAGACAAGTGACCACATTACCTGGCCAAGTTCAAACTCCTCACCCTCACCGCAGGGACAAGATGTGCTCCTCACATTTGTCCTGGTATTCTTTACTTTCTGCTATGAACTTTAGCTTTTTACTATCGTTTTAAAATCACTGCAGCTACAAACAATGCTACATGTTTGTGTGATGAATACCTGATACCATATCCTCTCAATTACGTATACAGTAATTAGCTACTTTATTAACTACACATAGGAAACGTTCAATCCCAGTCTGATTACCTTGACCCTGTTAGAGATACATACTAAGAAAATATAAGCAAACATTCTCAGCAAAAACAGAGAGGTAAGAAAGGAAGTGAAGCTAACCCAACAGGCTCAGCACCCAGGACTCAGGTATTCACTGTTTCGGGGCTCAAAGTATGTAAGGCTCATACTCAAAAGGCTTAGAAAATCAAGACTTTGAAAGACAAAGGGTTTCAGGCTAAGCTCCACAGCTGTAGGTCGCCTTACTGAAACTAAGGATTCCTCACTTCTGAAGTCAATCTGTGTTGTCTAGGATAGAGCGCTACAGGAGAATGACCGAGACCAACACCCCGATGGGCGAAAACGAAGTGCACAAGCACCCTCCGTGCACCCTGGGGGTCAGCACTCTACAAACCAAGGACAGAGTGCTGAGGGGGAGAGATTCAGAGTGGATTCCTTTTCAGTGCTTTTGGTCAAGATTTCTTAGGATTACTAACTTGACACTAATGGCTTTATCGCCTGCTTTGGTAGCTTAGTCAGTTTCAAACTAAACCTAGAAAACCAGCACAAGTAACACAACCAATAAATTCTGGCTGCCGCGGAGGTTTACAGAGCCAGCATGTAAAAACCATTGTACTTATTAATGCCAGATTTGCATATTGTATATGCCAGGTTGAAAACAACCAACCAACCAAACAGTAGAAATACATGAAAGAAATTGGTTCTTTCATCTGTCTTTGAAGAAGTAATTAATGGAGCTGGTGCTGCAGTGCCGGCATCCCTTATGGGCCCTGGTTCAAGTCCCAGCTGCTCCACTTCCAATCCAGCTCCCTGCTAATGCGCCTGGGAAAGCAGTGGAGGATGGCCCAATTGCTTGGGTCCCTGCACCCAAGTGGGAGACCCAGAAGAGGCTCTTGGCTCCTGGCTTTGGCCTGGCCCAGACCTGTTTTTTTTGTTGCAGCCATTTGGGGAGTGAACCAGAGGATGAAAGACCTCTCTGCCTCTCTCTGTGATTCTGCCTTTCAAACAAATAAAATAAATCTTTAAAAGGAAAAAGATAAACAATTCTGTAATGGCTGACATGCTAAATAAATGTTTTTAACCTGAATGCATCAGAAACCTTGCCAGGAAGGCCTACAGGAACTAGTGGGAAAACTTAGAAAACAATGTGTTTTATTCGACATCATGTCACTGTGAATCGTAATAAAATAAGAAGAAAAATAGTATTTTAAAACATATTACCTGATCAAGAATTCTTCCCATTCTGTCAAATAACACTTTCAAAAAATGTCCTTCAAAGAAAGCTGCTTCTAAATTGCACTTTTCCAAAGCTTTCGGAGACCCGGGCCACTCCCATCTTAAGCAGATAGCGCAGTAGTCCCGGAACTGGGGGAGAAAGCATTCGGATCATTGAAGAGGAACAAGCAACACCAGGTTAAATGGAAATGACGTCCTCAGACAGGCACCAGGAAACCCTCCGAGTGCAGAGCGCCGGTCAGCGTGAGGCGCCCCAGCACAGAGGGAGGTGACACAAAGCTTGACCAGGACACAAGACAGAGTCGCCAGCTAGCAGCAGAGGTGGGAAAGCAAGCAGATTTTGCCTTCACTAAAAACCCCTTTTAACAACTGTGTCTGCCTTCTTTCCTTCACAGGAATTTAACCTTTAGTTATTTTCACCACAGGTTTAGAGTGCATTTAAGATCAAAACCCCAACCACGTTTCCAAATTTATGAGGGGCCAGGGCTGGGCTGGGTCAAAGCCAGAAGCTGGCAACTAAATCCAGCTGCCCATGCAGGTGGGAGGGATTGAGTTCTTGATCCATCACTGCCACCTCTCAGGCTCTGCATCTGTGGGAAGCTGCCGTTAGGAGCCAGAGGCAGACAGCAAACCTTGGTGCTCCCATACGGGATGCAGGTGCCTTAACTGGTGTCTAATGCCCACCCCTAACCTTATTCCAACTCCCTTTTTAAATGCAGAAATGGACAAATCAACCCCCAAATCCACACACTTTCTGAGAAACTCTAAATAGCTCAATCAATCTTGAAGAAGAACAAAGAGGACTCACATCTTCTTGAACTCAAAATCTACTATGAAGCCACTGTCATCAAGATTGTATGGTGCTGGGATAAGACAGAACTGAGGCCGGCGCCGCGGCTCACTAGGCTAATCCTCTGCCTTGCGGCGCCGGCACACCGGGTTCTAGTCCTGGTCGGGGCGCTGGATTCTGTCCCGGTTGCCCCTCTTCCAGGCCAGCTCTCTGCTGTGGCCAGGGAGTGCAGTGGAGGATGGCCCAAGTGCTTGGGCCCTGCACCCCATGGGAGACCAGGAGAAGTACCTGGCTCCTGCCATTTGATCAGCGCGGTGTGCCAGCTGCAGCATGCTGGCTGCGACGGCCATTGGAGGGTGAACCAACGGCAAAGGAAGACCTTTCTCTCTGTCTCTCTCTCTCACTGTCCACTCTGCCTGTCAAAAAACTAAAAAAAAAAAAAAAAAAAAAAAAAAAAAAAAAAAAGAAGACAGAACTGAGAGACTGAAACAAACCTCACCTTTATAGTCAATATATAGTGGGAATATATATTCAATATATAGTGGGAAATAGCTTTTACAACAGCTGGATACCTACATGTAAAAAAAGAAATCTAGATCTTGTCTCACATCATATGTAATAATTAACTCAAAATGGATCAAAGACCTAAAATGTATGAGCTAAAACTCTGAAACTCAGAGAGAGAAATTTAGGTGACAAATCTCTGTGATCTTCGATGATTTCTTAGGTATAACATAAAAAGCACAAAAAAGGTTTTGTCCCATAGAGAGAAGAATAAAAAAGAAAAGGCCATTTAACTTGATAAGTCAGAGCAGATTCTCAAGAGCAGTTTCAGCGAGGCACGAAGCAGTAAGGGGCAGCAGGGACCACATCCCACGTTAGAGGGCCTCTGTCCTATGCATGGATTTTTTTAGAGAGAGAGAGAGATCTATCTCCATCCACTGGTTCACTGCCCAAATGGCCACGATGGCCTGGGATGGTTCAGGCTGAAGCTTGGAGCCCAGAATGCCATCCAGATCTCCCACATGGGTAGCAGAGGCCCAGCCACTTTGGACATCTTCCTCTGCTTTCCCAGGCACATCAGCAGAGAGTCGGATCAGAAGTGGAACAGTTGGGACTTGAACTGGAACTCTGATATTGGATGACAGGCCTGCAAGTGGCAGCTTAACCCACTGCACCACAACGCCAGCCCCTGTTACATGGCTGCTTAATCCAGTTTCCTGCTAATGTAGACCCTGAGAGGCAGCAATCATGGCTCAGGTAATTGGGCTCCTGGCACCCCCATGGGAGAACCAGATTGAGTTCTCAACCCCAGCTGTTGTGGCCATCTCGGGGTGGGGGGGTGAACCAAGGGATGAGAGAGAGCTCTCTCTTATCTGGGAGTGAACCAATGAGTAGGGGGAGAGCTTCTCTCTCTCTCTCCCTTCAACCTCTCAAAACAAATAAATGTTTAAAAAGCACAAAGGAAAAATAATATGCACTTTACCATAATTAAAAACTAGCAAGATGGTGAAAAGATCACCACCAGAATTGAAGAAAACATTTTCAAATCATTTATTTGATAAGTGTCTAATATCTAGGACATATAAGGAGCTCATTAACTCAATAAGAGAAGGTTTTTGCCAGGTGAAAAACAGGAAAAGACTTGAATGCTATTCTTCAAAGAAAACACACAGAGATCTGATATGCACATGAAAAAATTCAGAACCATTCATCAATGAGTGGCATCAGTGAGATACCACTTGAGACTTACTAGGACAGCCAAAACAAAAAAGCTAATGATAACAGATGTTGGAAAGGATATGGAGAAACTGGGATCCTCACACACTGCTGGTGGGATGCAAAACGGTGTAACTTTGTGGAAAATAGTTTGGTGGTTCCTCAAGAAAGCGAAATATGGAACTGCCACGTGCCCAGCAACTTTACTCCTAAGCAGATTTCCAAACAAGAATCCATGCACACACAGAAAGTTTTAAAAGACTGTTCCCAAAGAATTATGCATAAAAGCCAAAAAGTGGAAATGACCTAAACACCGACTAACTGACCAACAGATCAATAAGATACCCATGGAACTGAGTACTATCCCACCATAAAGAGAAATGAAGTACTAAGGGGTGTTACAACATGACTGAGGCTTGAGATCATAACACTGAAGCCAGAGAACGGCTACGTCAGGTGTGATTCCATCTCTGTAAAATGTCCAGGACAGGCAAAGCCACACAGACAGACAGCAGATGAGTGGGTGCCCGGCTCTGGGGTTGAGGAGGGATGGGGAGTGACTACTTAACTCGTACAGGGTTTCCTTCAGGAGTGATCGAAGTGTTCTGGAATTAGCGACAAAAGGTGTATGACATTATGCATATACCAAAAACCACTAAACCGCACACTTCAGAATTGTCAAAATGCCTAATTTTATCTCAATATAAAAAATTCTGGGGGTCTAGTGTTGTGGTGTAGCAGGTAAAGCTGCCGCCTGCAATGTCGGCATCCCATATGGGCACTAGTTTGAGTCCCAGCTGTTCTACTTCCAATCCAGCTCCCTGCTAATGTGCCTGGGAAAGCAGCAGAAGATGGCCCAAGTGCCTGGGCCCCTGCACCTATGTGGGAGACCCAGATGAAGCTCCTGGCTCCTGGCTTCAGCCTGGCCCAGCCCCAGCTGTTGTGGCCGTTTGGGGAGTGAACCACTAGATGGAAGATCTCTCTTTCTCTGTCTCTCCCTCTGTCTCTCTCTCTCTGTCTCTCTCTCTCTCTCTCTCTGTAGCTCTAACTTTCAAATAAATAAAATCTTTAAAAAAATTTTAAGAAAAAATTTTAACACAATTTTATTTTTTACATTTTACAATGTAAAATGCCATAGAGAGCAAGAAAAAAAAGGCCATTTAATTTAATAAGTCAGAGCAGATTCTCAAGAGCAGTCTCAGCGAGGCAGAAAGAGAATGCAGGGCACGAAGCAGGAAGGGGCAGCAGGGGCCTCGGCTGCCAATCACCGCGTGCGTGAGAACCGTCAGGGCTGTCAGCCTCCCAGAAGCTGGGAGCAGGACGCGGCTGCTGGAGGGGTGGGCAGCTGGTTAATGGGTTCAAGATTGCAGCCGGGCTTGAGGAGCCGGTTCTGCTGTTCTCTGCACAGTGCAGTGACTACAGTCAACTATGTTGTATTACATATTTCAAAGTAGCTAGAAGAGAGGTGTGTATGCTCTCACCATGATGAAAAGGTGAATGCACAATCATTACACAGTGCATATGTGTAACAAAATATCACATCAAAGCACATAAATATGTATGATTATTATGTGTCAATTTTTAAAAATCATATCACAAAACAGTACAGAAAGAATGTTGGTAGATTAGAGAGGAAGTACCGTAGCCTGGTATTTCAGGAGCAGGGGTGGGTGGGCAGAATGACTAAGGTATCATGATTCGGGTGGAGGTAACACAGAATTTGAAGTGGGAAGTAAAGGAGCACAGGGAAGTCTTGAGACAGAGACAGTGACGCACAAACCAGGGTGGCTGCACAACGCAGCAGTCGGGTGGGAAGAGCGCGGCCCCACTATTATTAGAGAGGCGTCACGTGTTTGCAGTAACGGCCCGGGCAACGTGACAAGGGGTGTGCGTATACAATCCTAGTAGACTTCATTTCCAAACACCGGTTACTTCCCTCACCTGCCTGTGAGCGTCTCGGAGGTAGGTATCGTATCCGGTGCCTTCAACGTGGTAGGAGGACTTTGCTTCATCTGGTACCAGACAGAGAAAACTTAAACAGAAAAAGAACATAAATACTCTCACAATCCAGTGATATTGCTTTATGTATTAAAGTATTTAGCAGTATCTTAAATTTAACCAAGGGTTAATACAAATGGGAACTTGAAAAATAAACTTATCTATTAAGTCCTGATCTTGAATCAGCCTTCCATTCCCTGATTAAATACTGGTTCCACACAGAAGTAAGCCAGCGGAATATCTTTTAGGTTAGTGTACCATGACTGACTGCCATGATTTTTGTTAACTTCAGGATACTGGCTTTTAAGTAACTGAACTTGAGATCTTTATGAACCCTAATTTTGCATCGTGAGTCACATGCAATGTTTTCTGAAGTTATCTGTATCCGTGACAGTGTTGCAGGGGAAGAAAAAGAGAAGGAAATTACCACAGAAAGGGTAACTTCAAAAAACTGTAAAAACATAAACAGCACGATGTGTCCAACTGGCAATGCTCATAGTTGGTATAACTGGGAATTACTTAAAATTAAGTCACATATATTTTAAAAATCAGGGTGCATTAAGATATTATTTAACCTGTGTTAGCTTTTTAGTTTTACATTGAGTGGGACTTTTTCTCTTGGTGTCAACTACAGCCCCAGCTTGTCATCTGCTACGTAAGCAAAACAAAAAAGTTCACATAATCTTTAAAGGAATCTGAGTTCATAACAGCAGAGCTATTGCATGTTATAAAAGCAAGTCAATGAGATGTCAGTCAAGTTTATAAAGCCACCCACCTATTGACAATTTTATGGACTTCTGTTTTGCCATCATTCTTGGGGTGGTCTGGAGTAGCAGGCGGTGAAGAACTAAGCCACTCTTGGTTTGATAAAGTGTTATCCGGTGAGATGTCAGTGAATAACGGATCTTCTTCCAGATCTCTAATTCAGTGAGGTATGAAATGCAACACTTAGTAGGGCATTTTCCATACCCAAAGATTCCCTGCCATGTTCTTAGAAAATATATCATGATTTGCTAATTAGGAATCATACATTTTACAAAATAACATTATATACTAACAAACTCAAGAATTTGCTAATTTTGTCACTACATTTAAAGAATGCATAACATGGAGAGGGTGTTGTGGAGTGGCAGATTAGGCCACTGATTGGGACATCTGCATCCAGTATCAGAATGCCAGGTGAGTCCCTACCACTCTGCTTCTGATCCATCTTCTTGCTAATGCACCCAGGAAGCTGCAGATGACGGCTCAGGTATGTAAGTCCCTACCTCCCACTTGACGGACACAGATGGAGTCCTGGACTCCAGGCTTTAGTCTGGCCCAGCCTTGTCTATTACAGCTAGGAAGTGAGCCAGCAGATGGAAGCTATCTCCCTCTTCTTCTTTCCCTCTCCCCGTCTTTGTCATTCTTTCAAATACATCATAAAGAATACATACACAACATCACTTGTAATTTAAAAGGATGGTAGCAAGCAGTAGGGCATCTAAATTTTGCTTTTAAAAACTTCTTTAGAGGTTTTGGGTTTGTTTTTAAATAAGGGAGAGCAATAAAAGGCAAAAGCTCTGACTGTGAAACACTAAACTCACAGAATCAGATGAAACTTACACTGCTCCTGCTATCAATCCATTCTCCACCACATCTTTATCTTCTGGGCACAAAGGCTTATATTCTGTGTAATTCCTTTCTTCAAGATTTCTTAGGACCAGGTTGTAAAGAATGTGCTCATTGGGTTTTTGCAAAAGATGTTCAAACATTCTTAATGTCATTATGCTTATCTGAAACCAAAATGTCATCTTGTAAGTCAGGCTTTCAATTTTTAAAGCCACACAATGAAGGGGCTGAATGTAAACATCACAGGTATACTAAAAGCAGCACTTCAGAAAGAGACTCTACATCCGCTTCTACGTCACCACGCGGTTTACCTCGTCAGATATGTGATCACAGTGCTCAATTAGCCTATGTCTCAACGGGTGTCTGCCGATTTCGGCCAGAGTCTCGGGTTCCCTCTGTTCTCCAAGGATAAAAAACACCATTTCTTGAAGCAAAACGTCAGAGGTTACTTGCCGAACAATGCGGTGGAGCAGCGCGGTTGACGTCAGAATGCCCATCTCAGAACTGAGCACAACAAAGAGGCAATTAGTGGGCACAGATGACACAAACTCGGGGTCCCCCTTTCTTCTTAAAGGAAGCGTTCTACTCACGTCTGCATTAGCTGAGGTTCCATGACACCAATGAAAAACCGCTCGTGAACAGCTTTGGCAAGAGCAACAGCAGCAGTCTGGAATACCGCATGAGTACTGTTAGCTTTCTTTTCAAAGGAAAAGAGAGCTTCATCTTTAGTATCTGAGTTCATGTGCAATGACAAAAATTTATCTATCAACCACCCTGTTGATGGCTTGCAAACCTAGACCATAAGTCTTCTAAATCTGCATAAACAAGAGGAACAGGACAAAAACCTATCCTTATAACCTGACAGCTTTAATGTCTCCCCAAAGAGGAAGACTAGGGGGACGTCAGTGTCACCCCGTGAAGCACTGGAGCGTAACACTTACAAAAATATAAAAGGACAGGACTTGCACTTTGACTGATTTCAAAATAGCGAAAGGGGCATCCATAAGTGTTCTTTTTCATTTCACTAACTGTGCTACCCTGAGACAAGTAACAAATTTGGGGATATAAATTAGAATTCAAATTTCGTTGTTACATTTTTAAATGATCAAAAAACAACAAAAAATTCAAACCTTTTGTGCTTCCTTAATGAGTTGATCACAATAATCAAACCAGGAAAGAAATGAAATTAAGGCTCGTTTTCCTGGAAAAGCTGAAGCATCTTCTTTATGACTGTACGAGTCCAAGCTGTGGGACATGGAAGACAAGCTAAGCATAAAGTTATCCGGATGCACACGCCCTCCGCAGTACACAGGGAACAAGGAAGGCACGTCATGAGCTCACACGGGGCCACACCCAGGGGCAGTGCTGGACAAAGGTTTGATAAAAGAAGACACAGATGAGAGAAAGCCTTTTAAACCAAACTTGTAAATGACTTTCACTCACTGAGTGGGAAGAGGGAGACTAACGCGGAATGGAACTGCAGGAGAGAAACCTTTGAGACAGCTCCTCCCGCTCGTGTCACAAATCTGACCAAGTAGCAGCAAGGACAAGAAGCAGGGTCCCGGCTGCTCGGGATGGAATCAAAGCAAAGGGCAGGAGGGGCTGCAGAGAGAAGGCACTGGCCTGCAGCTCCTCCTGCCTCCCAAGGCAGGACAGTGCCGTGGTGACCAGGCCGGTCTGCCCCGCGGATGTGACAGGGCGCAGGCTGGGCACAAGGTCGACAGTCACGTTGTCAAGACACCAGGCTGCGGAGAGGCGGGAGGGGAGGGGGTGTCTCGGCCACGTTATCGGTGCAGATGTCTTACATGTGCGTTTTCCTAGGAGCGCTAAGGGGGAAGCCCTAGAATGCGGGTCGAGGAGTGAAAGGGGGAGGCAGGGGAGAGGTTCCATACAAGCAGGCAGGAGACTTATGCCAGGCTACCCTCGAGGCTGTGGACACTGCTTATTAAAAAGGAGATTCCTGCCTTTATTAGAATGTTTCTGTTCTTAATAGTCAGACAACATTACTGTCTTTAACACAAGGTCTCAAAAACTGATCCTTATAATGGGCAATGCAGCTTAGCAATGGAACAAGCGGATTCTTCCCACACCCTTCATTCTTAGGAATTCATCAATTGAACACAACCTCAAGAACATAGTCCCATTTGAAGATCACTAATAGTGTTACATTTTTCAAAACTAAAGACTTCTGTCATTGCAAAACAGAAAAGGATTTTAAAATGTAGGGTCCAAGAGGTCATTCACGGGAAAATACACACAGCAGCGCTTACCCCCAGTTAATGGCTTCCACCGTTTCGATATCTAAGGGATCCACCGACTGAGGTAGGGCCTTGTACAGGGAGGCCAGCCTGTCCGTGAGGAGCTCGCACAGGCACGTGCTCTGCGTAAGGCACTTTGCGGCCGCAGGCTCTGGCAGACTCACTAACAGCATCAAGCCCTCGCACGCTTTCACTGCAATGCGGCCATCCTGGGGGGGAAGAAAACCCACCGCTTCAGCTCCTGATCACGTTCTGTGCAGATCTGTCTGGAAAATCCAACCGATCATGGAGTGCGCTACTCTAAAAGAAGAATAGCTTTTCATCTCCCCACCCCCCACTTTTAAGTGCATATTACTGTTGATGTTAGGGAAAGAAAAAAGTACACACTGCGACTCACGGGACTTCGAGTGAGATTTAACAGAGAATTCACTAAATTGTAGTCCTGGTTGGGACGAACAACCGAAGCCTCCGGCAGTGACGTGACGTTGAGGTGGTCCAGGCTGCTGGACAGGGCATCCGCCTGCGGCTCCTCCTCCGACTCCGCCCGCTCCACGCCAGCAGCACCTGACAGTTCCTCTGGCTGAGGGGCCTGGCCCGTGTCTGTGGACAAGGAGTCCTGACCTTTTAACGGGTCTTCTGAAATTACACTTGCTGCTCCTTTGGAAGCCAATGTTTTCAACTTATTCTGAAAAGGAAATGGGTGCTTTGTAAGATTCACATCAAGAACCTTTTAAGCCAAAAACCATGTTTTAATGGATTTTCACAATTAACATTCCACATGCCTAAGAAAAACAGCAATGAATAAATGTTCTATCAAATAAAAATAGTCAGACTTTTAACAAACTATGAAATACAATTTTACAACTGCAAAGGAGTTCACAACACTCCTCATATTAAGTACCTGGTGCTTTGCAAGGAACCAATTCCTGTTAACTATTCATTACTTACAGCAGCTAACATATGTGGGGAAAAAAGTTTCAGGAGGTTTCAACTCCAGTTAATTTTTTTTCCTCATCACTGAGCTATTATAAATACATAGCTTCAATGTTAGTTCTTCCACACCATGGGCCGGGGTGAGGCGTGGGGTGCAGGAATGTAAACTTAAATTTTTTTAACAATTTATTTTATTTATTTTGAAAGGCAGAGAGTTACAGACAGGGAGAGACAGCGAGAGATCTTCCGTCTGTTGGTTCACTCCCAAATGTCTGCAACAGCTGGGACCGGGCAGGCCGAAGCCAGGAGCTTCTTCTGGTTCTCCCACATGGGTGCAGGGGCCCAAGGACTTGAGTCATCCTCCGCTGCTTTCCCAGGTGCATTAGCAGGGAGCTAGATGAGAAGTGGAGCAGCAGGGACTCGAACCAGTGCCCATAATGGAAGTTGGCACTGCAGGCTGCGGCTTAACTCACTATGCCACAGTGCCATCCCCTAAAATTAAGTTTGAAGGTTCAAAACTTGTCAGCATTAGATTTAAGGTTTCTACAAAAGTCCCTGAATTCTCTTAAGTATATAAACAAGCACTTTTTCAATGTTTCCTCTTATACTTTTGTTTTACAAAGAAAATGCTAACTTACCCTGAGCATGCTTTTGTGTGTCTTTGAGGATAAAAATGAAGATTTACCTCAAGTCCTGGCATCCTGTCCCTATCTCCTCCCCCGACACACAATTTTAACTAAAGCAAATTATTAGTTTCAAGGCAAAAGCCTGCCTTTCTATTTGAATTTAAGAGTAAAAACCAAAATACACAAGTAAGTGACAATTCATTATAAGCTGGCTTCTCCACAGGGCCTATCGCGGCTCCTTGCTTATCAAAGAGGCACACTGAAGGCTGAGGGAATTCCAGGTTCTCCTTCCAAAGTTACATTACAGTCATTATAAATCACTTTTATTGCTGTTCAAAGCATGTTCAGAAGAGTCATCTTGAGAAACTGAGCTGACAAAACATACACTGAAGAAAACAACTACGGAACTCGGGGAATACCATAGACAGCACTGCCAGTTTCCTGCAAAATCACCTGCATCTCACAGTCGTTATGACAGTAAGGCACTTTATCCCATCTAAAACACCAGCAGTCACGCTGGCCCGGCTGTCCTAAGTAAAAGCAGCAGCTGGTACTCATTCTCAAAAAAGTGGGTGGGGGCCAACACTGTGGCATCCCATGTGGGCACCGGTTCGAGTCCCGGCTGCTCCACTTCCCATCCAGCTCCCTGCTAATGCGCCTGGGAAAGCAGCAGAGGATGGCCAAGTCCTTGGGCCGCTGCATCTGAGTGGAAGATCCAGAGCAACCTCCTGGCTCCTGGCTTTGTATCGGCACAGCTCCAGCCGTTGCGGCCACCTGGGAAGTGAGCCAGTGGGTGAAAGCCGTCTCTCTCTGTCTGCATTTCAAATTAATCAGTAAATCTTAAAAACAAAACAAAAACAAAAACAAAAAAATAGTGTATCTCAAGGTGGGACTAGATCCTGCTACATCCCAGTGTCCTGTGGGCCTTGACAGAAATGGAGATTCCTGGGTCCCCTCCAGGCCTGAGTGAGAAGATGTGGAGGTGGAGCCAAGGGGCAAGCATTTTTTAAAAAAGATTTTATTTATTTGACAGGCAAAGTTACAAACAGTGAGAGGGAAAGACAGAGAGAGGTCTTCCATCCTCTGGTTCACTCCCCAGACAGCCACAATGGCCAGAGCTGTGCCAATCCTAAGCAGGATCCAGGAGCCTCCTCCAGGTCTCCCATGTGGGTGCAGGGGCCCAAGGATCTGGGCCATCTTATACTGCTTTCCCTGGCCATAGCAGAGAGCTGGATCAGAAGAGGAGCAGCCGGGACTAGAACCGGCACCCTTTTGGGATGCTGGCACCACAGGTGGAGGATTAACCTCCTGCCACAGAGCCAGCACCGGCCCCGGGACCTGCATCTTAGAACAGCTCTGTAGGAAAGGAGCTGCAGCCTCGACTCTATCCTTCGCTTTGCACCAACAGTGTTCCCATTCTGCTCCAGACACCTCTCATGGGTACGCACAGCACATTCATGCACATAATTCCCAAATCTCTTAAAACCAGATCGCCCTCCCAAATCACAGGTCTGTATCACAAAATACCCAGTGTTTCCCTCCATTAGGACATCTGTAGACCCACGGCATCCGGAACCTAAAGCCCCAGCTCCTCAGAATAAGCTCCTTAAGGGCTCCCTTCTTTCCACTGGCAGCAGCTGATTCAAGAATTCGAGCATCCAGATCGTGCTTTCTCTGCGTCCTGCACCTGAGAAGTAATGAGGCCACAGAGCCTACCTCTGTTCTCCTGAACACAGTCACTCCATCCCAGTCCACCGCTTCCCACTGAAGTCTTTGTTACTTCCTGCCTGGATTACGCCATCAGCTTCCAGGAGGGTTTGCTACGGTTCTCTCTGCTCCCAAAGGAATCCACCATACAAAATGCTGCCACCAAACTAACCTTAAGGCACAGTTAGCATCACATAGTCACACCCCTGCTCAAAACTGTCAGTGGCTCCCAAGTGTCCACAGGCAAGCACCAGCTCCTCACGCTGCCTTTCCAGCCTCTGCAAGTGGCAGGCCAGCGGCCCAGGCTCCTCCTACCACACGTGCTCATTACACTGTTTCCTTGCGGTCCCCCACTCCTACCCAGACAGCTGTCAGGCCCACCCCCAGATGACCTCTTCCGTGAATCTTCTCTGGTGACTTGAGGCACACACAAAACCCTGTGAACACTTAATGCGCTGACTTTGTCTTTCTTATTCTTTGCTTACTCTACCTTAAGTCGGATCTGAACATTCATCTTACTGCGTCATCGGATGCAAACCCCTCTAGGGCTGACTATTTCTAACTCATTATGTGTGCTCGAACCCATTGTCACATATTGACCGATGTAAGTGAGCAGAGAGATTACATTTCCAGAGACACAGGCTTGAGAACTGTTTCTGTGTACACTTACAAGGAGTAAAACTGCACTTCCCTAAAATTTCTCATTTAGTAAATGTGAATTAAGCAGTTATTATAGATGTTAGCAAAGTTGTGAGGCCTTAGAAATGACACAGAACCTTGTCCTCAGCATGAGGAGAAAACAAAATGCACACAAGTAACTCAACAGCTTCAGGTGACTATAACAACTGACATTAAAAGCATGCAGATGAAGGCCGGCGCCGCGGCTCACTAGGCTAATCCTCCGCCTTGCGGCGCCGGCACACCGGGTTCTAGTCCCGGTCGGGGCGCCGGATTCTGTCCCGGTTGCCCCTCTTCCAGGCCAGCCCTCTGCTGTGGCCAGGGAGTGCAGTGGAGGATGGCCCAGGTGCTTGGGCCCTGCACCCCATGGGAGACCAGGAAAAGCACCTGGCTCCTGGCTCCTGCCATCGGATCAGCGCGGTGCGCCGGCCGCAGCGCGCTGGCCGCGGCGGCCATTGGAGGGTGAACCAACGGCAAAGGAAGACCTTTCTCTCTGTCTCTCTCTCTCACTGTCCACTCTGCCTGTCAAAAAAAATTAAAAAAAAAAAAAAAAAAGCATGCAGATGAGATGAGATGGTTGTGCATGGAAGGGAGGTTATGGGGGGAAAAGCTGCTATAATCCAAAAGTTGTACTTTTGAAATTTATATTTATTATATCAAAGTTAAAAAAAAAAAGCATGCAGATGGTCCCGTCAGCCTCAGAAAACGGAGAGATCGACCGCCGCAGGCTTTGGAGAAGTAAGTGCTATCAAAATGCTGCGGAAAGCAGACACGTCCCTAACTCCGAGGGGTGCTTGTTCTTTGTGGTGAGGTTTAAGTGTACATGTTTCTCTGAGGACAGCTACACAAAGTGCATCTCACCATTAACAGACACGCCTGCAAATCTCTGCTTCTGATCTATAGCTATGCACTTCTGAAACCAGTTGCAGAAATTTTTCAGAAAAACTCCATCAGGCTTGAGTTTGGGAAAAATCCATGTATCTAAAATGCATAAGGTATCTAAAACAACTAAGCAAAAATGAATTCTGAGAAAAAAGTCATACTTGGCTGAACTGAGCTATTTCTTATAAACACATATAAAAAAACTACAAGAACTGTAATGATACCTTCACTAATAAATATTTTTTTTGACAGGCAGAGTTAGTGAGAGAGACAGAGACAGAGAGAAAGGTCTTCCTTCCGTTGGTTCACTCCCAAAATGGCCGGCGCACTGCGCCGATCTGAAGCCAGGAGCCAGGTACTTCCTCCTGGTCTCCCATGCGGGTGCAGGGCCCAAGCACTTGGGCCATCCTCCACTGCCTTCCTAGGCCACAGCAGAGAGCTGGACTGGAAGACGAGCAACTGGGACAGAACCGGTGCCCCAACCGGGACTAGAACCAAGGGTGCTGGCACTGCAGGCGCTGGCCCACTAATAAATCTTTAGAAACCCGCAATCATAAAACTGTTCTAGCCATTTTGAAACAAACTTGCAAAATAAATATGATATAAAGAATGACACACAACATGAAAAACAGGTATTGATTGTCCTTAACACTACCTAGAAATTCAAAATTACAGTAATGTGCAGCTTAGCTGCTCACTTGCCCCCAGTAAGAATGAAGAACAGGGTCCTAAATTATTTATTCAGTAATGTGACATGGAGAAAAAAAATCTATTACTGGAATGGCTAACTTGTTAAAAAACAAAACAAAACAAAACAAAAAACCTCTGACCACATACAGGGCTGGCAAGGGCAAGGAACAACAGGGACTCACATCTGGTACAGAGGGAATGCAAAATGATAAAGCCGCTTTCGAAAATGGGAAGTTTTTTGTGAAAATAAATATACACTTACCACACGATCTAGGTATTTATCCAAGTAAAATGAAAACGTAGATATATGCAAAAATCTGTGTGTGAAATTTTATGATAGCTCCATTCATGACTGCGCCAAACAGGAAATAACCCCCAAGTGCCTTAACTGGTGAATGGATGAACAACTACAGCATGTCCATGCTGTAGGATCTTTTTATTTTTTTTTTATTTTTATTTCTCTTACAGGCAGAGTGGACAGTGAGAGAGAGAGACAGAGAGAAAGGTCTTCCTTTGCCGTTGGTTCACCCTCCAATGGCCGCCGCGGCCAGCGCGCTGCGGCCGGCGCACCGCGCTGATCCGGTGGCAGGAGCCAGGAGCCAGGTGCTTTTCCTGGTCTCCCATGGGGTGCAGGGCCCAAGCACCTGGGCCATCCTCCACTGCACTCCCTGGCCACAGCAGAGGGCTGGCCTGGAAGGGGGGCAACAGGGACAGAATCCGGTGCCCCGACCGGGACTAGAACCCGGTGTGCCGGCGCCGCTAGGTGGAGGATTAGCCTAGTGAGCTGCGGCGCCGGCCACATGCTGTAGGATTCTACTCAACAGTACTCTTTTAATGGACAAGATCATGGACGAATCTCAAATGCATTAAGTAAAAAGAACCAGATTCCAAAGGCTGATTATATTCAGACAACCTTTAGGGAAGAGAAAACTGCTGGGCCAGTGACTGCTAGAGGGTGGGGGTGGGAGGTGATGCGTAAGAAGCGGGCTGGGGAGGGTACAGCAAAGTGCTGTGTATCTGACTGTGCTGGCAAAGACATGGCTGTACGTGCCTGTCAAACTCACAGAGCAGCACACCCAAAGGAGAAAGCTCACACTTTAACCTGGAAACAACCAAAAAAATTTTCAGGTAAAAATGATAAAAACAATATAGTTTTTTTTTTGGCCGGCGCCGCGGCTCACTAGGTTAATCCTCCGCCTAGCGGCACCGGCACACAGGGTTCTAGTCCCGGTTGGGGCGCCGGATTCTGTCCCGGTTGCCCCTTTTCCAGGCCTGCTCTCTGCTGTGGCCAGGGAGTGCAGTGGAGGATGGCCCAGGTGCTTGGGCCCTGCACCCCATGGGAGACCAGGAGAAGCACCTGGCTCCTGGCTCCTGCCATCGGATCAGCGCGGTGCGCCGGCCGCAGCGTGCCGGCCTCGGCGGCCATTGGAGGGTGAACCAACGGCAAAGGAAGACCTTTCTCTCTCTTTCTCTCTGTCTCTCTCTCTCTCACTGTCCACTCTGCCTGTCCAAAAAAAAAAAAAAAAAAAAACAAAACAAAAAAAAAACACATACCTAAGTGACTTCACTGCTAAAGAAAAAAGCAGGAAGTAAACAAAAATTATTTTTAACTTTATAATCTAAAATACCGACTGATTTAAGTAAACTGTGATTTGATGGTTACGGCTATAAGAACAGAAAACACTAGTGCAATCCGAGCTAACACAGGAGGTAGGGGAGGCAACCTGTGCTTTTCCCAATCTTGTCTGCACCTGCACGGGTCACCCCTCTGCGCAGGCCAGATGACTCGTGCTGTGCACCTGATCAAGAAGCTCACAGACCTCTGGGACTCCTCCACCCGCGCTTCCCCCGTCAAGCCGGTCCTTGTTCTGCCCAGGTAGCCGGCTGAATTGCATTCTTCTAAAATATTTGTTCCCAGGAGGTTTCAGTTGGAATAAAACACCAATCGTGAATGAAAAATAATTCTGAGAAGTAAAACGAGCTACCTGATCATTGATAAAAGCAAGTAAATGTAATCCTTCTAATATAGTCCAGCTTTTATAACGACCTTAATGTAAGCACACTCAGAAAGCTAGTAAGTGTACAGTACCTCCAGAAAAAAATTAACCAAGTAGGGATCCTGTTTGAGCTTTGCACACACAATACAGAGAAACTGAATCTCTTCATTTTCTGTTGGGGTTGCAAGGACTTCACCACACAGTCGAATTAATTTCTGTCAAAATATTTTAAAAAAAACTTTTAAACTTAGGTTACATTTCAAAAGTGTGTGTATATATTTATGTTTGTTTTATATATAATATATATACTTTATATATATGTATATACTCACAAACACACATACAATATCCACTTACTTCAAGAATATTTAAACTTTTTAAATTGAAAATTTTCAAATAATGGAAATATCTTGCATAAATAAAGTATAAGACTATTTATAGTCACTTACAGAAAAATTAGCTTACTAGCAATAAATTTTCAAGTTCACTACCCTTGAAAATTAATGAGAAATATAGTCACCTCTCTGTGAAATGAAAATTAAGATATAAAATTTTAAAATATAAAGACAGGAAATACACTTAATACAATGTCATGTATAAGTATTTGCAAATTTTCATGTGATTTTTAGAATAATTTCTTTTATTATTTTTACTCTTAGAAAAATCATATAAAGTGATTTCTAGATTAAAAGAAAGCAATACAAATCACTTTATGTAAGGGGAGAATACCTGGACGGGCCTGTGCACATTAATGTGTGGAAGCAGGGGCTGCCGGATTCGTCCCAGAAGTTTCGTGTAGAACACCAACACCTGCTGTTTCATTCCTGGAGGACACTGGGCACAGGAAAAAAGGAAAGCAAACAAGGAAGGAACAGACAACACAAACACACTTACTCCAAAGTGTCAAACCCAACAGAGGCAATACACGTGAACTACTTCACCCTCGGGAGAGATGCAATGGGTAGCGCATGCCTTTGTCAGAATAGAATTTTTAACCGAGTATCTGTGACTAGCATTCAAAAAATGAAATTACACATGGTCTTCAAAAAGCTCATGAGAAATGCATGTTATTAAAAAAAAAACTATGCACGGCTTTCAAAAATTTTTGATCCAAAATTAATTCACACCAACTTGTGGTAACAGGTCTGAGTAGTATCTAGCTGGAGGCAGTAAGTCATCCGTTTAAAAAGAGCTCCCATCAGAGCAATATGAATCCTGCTAAAAGTGAAGCACAAACACCCAGCTATGGTAAACCTTGGGTGGAAAAATGGTGAACTCACTGATGCTTCAGAGTTTATGGGGACAATGCCCCCAAAGGAACCAGTAGTTTATAAATGGATAATTCATTTCAAGATGGGTGAGACAGGGGCACGGTGGGCTAAAGGGAGGCCCACATTCCATTTCAGAGGGCATCGTGGGAAGCACCAAGTAATGCCTCACATGCCTGGGGCCCTGCCACTCAAGTGGGAGACCCGGATGGGATTCTAGGTTCCTGGCCCAGCCTGGCTACTATGGGCATCTGGGGAGAGGACCAGGAAACAGAAGTCTCTGTCTCTGTTACTCTGTCATTCTGCCTTTTAAGTAGATGAAAACTGATAATAAATGCTCCTTTAAAAATTCTACAGACAAACAAACAAAAAGCCTGCTTTGACCTGGTTAAATGCCCAGGACCATCTTTAGGAAATAGATTAAACGGCTGGTATCGTGGCTTAAATGTGTCTTAAATTTGATGGAGCTTATGTTGAGAAATAAAGCTTATATTTATCATTTTTATCTTTTAATTCCATTTTATCACAATCATTTTGACATCCCCTCATATATTACATAAATTCACAGATCAGAACCACAGATTTTGAGAGCTTGGGGACACGCTTGAGCAACACCCTCTTCGTTTTTAAAGGGAAGGACTGACCAGAAAGACTTGCTGAAGGTCATAGTATATTAGTGACATAACTGGGAAGGGAAGCCAGGCCTCCTAATCTGGACCCATGGCTTCTTGTCCCCACACCACCACATGCACTAAAAATTTGTCTTTACACGTACTTTGAAGGCTTTGTGGAACAAATATTATTTAAATTATAATATCAGCTTTTCAAAGATTTTTCAAAATTCATTCATTAGGCACAAAAATTTGAATTGGTTCACCCATCAGCTGAGTTAATGTCAGAATAATCTGTGATGTTGTCTTTTAGAACTATGAGAAATGCCCATTTCTTTGAACCCATTTTTACTAGGTTCTTTCTCATTTCCTCTGATTACTGAGCACACGGACGTTGAGTTCACTTTCACAAATGTTTACACTGGACTCCTCAGCAGCCTGAGGACCCCCCGTTGACAGGGAGTTTGCTATCTCTATGGATATCATGCTGCTCATGGCACACAACTCTGTTTTTACACAATCTTAACTTGAATCCTGCCATGTTCAATTTTAGTTGAATTGAGCGCTTGGCAGCTTCTTTACTTTGAAGACATGAATAAGCGTATTTGATGGCCAAGAAGAAGTGGATGAGGAACTCACATCAGCTTTCCCTAGGGTATACAAAGTTTCCAAGATCTTGTGATGGAGCAAATATTCCATACACGGCCCTGTCTCTCCGGACTCCCGTTCATTTTCTTCTTGGACCAGGATATCTAACATCTGTTCCAGATGGGATGGAATGTTTGTATCAGTCACAGGGGCCTTATCATCTAGAGAACAAAAAGCACTTATCAAAAAACATTCAAACGTTTTGAACGTACACATTTGCATTAAAGACACTTCTCCATATTTTCTTATTTCTATTCAAACATAAAAGTTAGAACTACAAACTTAACTAAGGTTTATATACACAGTAGCTGGGCTAGAATTTAGATGCCTTTTTTTTTTTTTTTTTTTTTTTTGACAGTGAGAGAGAGAGACAGAGAGAAAGGTCTTCCTTTGCCGTTGGTTTACCCTCCAATGGCCGCTATGGCCGGCACACCGCGCTGATCCGAAGGCAGGAGCCAGGTGCTTCTCCTGGTCTCCCACGGGGTGCAGGGCCCAAGCACTTGGGCCATCCTCCACTGCACTCCCGGGCCACAGCAGAGAGCTGGACTGGATGATGCTTTTTGTCATGCTTACTCAAAAACTGAATCAATATATTCTCTAAGGTCCTACTTAGTACATCCATGATAATTTAGAAGTAAGAGGCATTTGTGTGCGAAATGGGAACATGACCAAGATGACATATACGTAAAATCACAAATTCCTTTATACTTATAATTTAAGTATTTTTTCCGACTTATCCAGTTCAGATCTGATTTTTAAGTCTCCTTATATAGAAACAAGTTGGCCTCATTAGTTCTTTTTTTTTTTTAAACAGAGGTTGCTCACTGATTAACCTGGACATGTGCAGAGGGCAGGTTGCTTTTGATTGTTACTATATTATTTTGCAACACTGGAAAATCAATCACTTACTGACCCCAATTCACTTTCTCTATAAAGATATGAGGCATCAAAAGAAAAACCCTCTCCTAAAATTCCTGACACTTCTTCTCTCTAACAGGTATCTATTCCCAAATGTCTATTTTGCAAGCCAATTCTCAGGAGAATTCTTATCGAATATTACTGATTTTTTAAAAGAAAAAATTACTTATATTTTAATACTATCACAGTTGGATAGTTTTATCAACCTATTACTCTCATACAGGGCTAAATTACTCTGGATAAAGTGTGACATTTTCGAGAATGTGTAAGTACAAAATTATTAGGAAATACCAAGTTTGTCCTTATGTCTCTATTGTCATTTCTTTAGTATTTCTATAGTATATACAATACAGTCCTGATATGCTGCTTAGTGATATGCCACTTTGTACATATGCACATGCATGTCCATATCACACTCATACATGGTAAACCACAACACTGAGCCATATGGAGAAAACAATGGAATGGAAGGGGCGCCCTTGGTTCCCAGGAGGTCATATGCATCAGTATGGGACAAGAGCTACAAGCATGGGGCTGGAACTAGACTACTGAGATTTCAGGCTTGGCTCTGTCACTTTTAGCTGGTGACCTGGTATAAATTATTTAGGCCTCAGTTAACAACATTTTTAAAATGGAACTAATAAATACCAGTAAGCAAGGCCCAGTGTCTTCAGACATCCCACATCCAGGTGCCTATTCAAGTCCCAGCTGCTCAACTTCTGATCTGGCTCTCTGCTAATGTGCCCGGGAAGGAGCAGAAGATAGCCCACTACTTTGGTCTCTGCCTCCTGCACGGGACAGGTTCCTGGCTTCAGTCTGGCCCAGCCCCAGCCACTGCAGCCATTCGGGGAATGAACCAGCTGATGGAAGATCTCCTCTCCTACTCTCAATGTCACATCACCTTTCAAACAAGGAAATAAATCTTCTTTTTTTTTTTTTTAAAGAAATGTTATTGTGTCTCATCTCCTATTCTTCTAAGGTGAATAAATGGGTGCTAAAATGACATAATTTGTTGGTTTACCATAATTCTTTTTTTTTTTTTTTTTTTTTTGGATAGGCAGAGTTAGACAGTGAGAGAGAGAGACAGAGAGAAAGGTCTTCCTTTGCCGTTGGTTCACCCTCCAATGGCCGCCAAGGCCGGCATGCTGAGGCCGGCACACCGTGCTGATCCAATGGCAGGAGCCAGGTGCTTCTCCTGGTCTCCCATGGGGTGCAGGGCCCAAGCACTTGGGCCATCCTCCACTGCACTCCCTGGCCACAGCAGAGAGCTGGCCTGGAAGAGGGGCAACCGGGACAGAATCCGGCGCCCCAACCGGGACTAGAACCTGGTGTGCGGGCGCCACTAGGCGGAGGATTAGCCTAGTGAGCCGCGGCGCCAGCCATAATTTTTTAAATATGTTTCTCCCCCCTAATTATAGACATTACACTTATAAACACTCCAGGAAAGAATGATTGATCATAGTTATTTATGGGGGGGAGGGGGATGACCAGAAAGACTTTTTAGGTTTTTTTTGAGATTTTATTTATTGGAGACGTAGAATTCAACAGTGAAAGGGAGAGAGAGAAACGTCTTCTCTGGTTCACCCTCAAATGGCCTCAAAGGCCAGAGCTGGACCAATCTGAAGCCGGGAACCAGGAGCCTCCTCCAGGTCTCCCACATGGGTGCAGGGCCCCAAGCACTTGAGCCATCTTCTACTGCTTTCCCAGGCCATAGCAGAGAGCTGGATCAGAAGTGGAGCAGCCGGGACTAGAATTGGCTCCCATATGGGACACCGGCACTGCAGGTGGAGATTAACCTACTGCACCACAGTGCTGGCCCCCAAAAAGACTTTTTAAATTAAGAAAGAAATTAACGGGGCTGGCGCTGTGGCACAGCGGGTTAATGCCCTGGCCTGAAGCGCCAGCATCCCATATGGGCGCTGGTTCTAGTCCCAGCTGCTCCACTTCCAATCCAGCTCTCTGCTATGGCCTGGGAAAGCCGAAGATGGCCCAAGTCCTTGAGCCCCTGCACCCATGTGGGAGACCCAGAAGAAGCTCCTGGCTCCTGGCTTCAGATCGGTGCAGTTCCGGTCATTGCGGCCAATTGGGGAGTGAACCAGCAGATGGAAGACCTCTCTATCTCTGTGCCTCTCCTCTCTATGTCTAACTCTGACTCTCAAGTGAAAAATAAATAAATCTTAAAAAAAAAATAACTGTAAATTTAAGTTGCCAGAAGTAAAACCCTAGTTTCTCAGAAGGTGGATCAGGTTTCTGCAACATGCTCTCCTCATCCCTAAACTATATATTTTTTTTTTTATTTTTATTTTTTTGACAGGCAGAGTGGACAGTGAGAGAGAGAGAGACAGAGAGAAAGGTCTTCCTTTGCCGTTGGTTCACCCTCCAATGGCCGCCGCGGCCGGCGCGCTGCGGCCAGCGCACCGCGCTGATCCGATGGCAGGAGCCAGGTGCTTTTCCTGGTCTCCCATGGGGTGCAGGGCCCAAGCACCTGGGCCATCCTCCACTGCACTCCCTGGCCACAGCAGAGGGCTGGCCTGGAAGAGGGGCAACCGGGACAGAATCCGGCGCCCCGACCGGGACTAGAACCCGGTATGCCGGCGCCGCTAGGCGGAGGATTAGCCTAGTGAGCCGCGGCGCCGGCCTCATCCCTAAACTATAAATGACTCCATGCCTTTGCAAATGCTATTCCTTCTACTTGACGTGCCTTTTCCCTTCTTATGTACCCACAAGCTCCTATTCATTCTTTTTTTAAAAAATATTTATTTATTTATTTACTTGAAAGGCAGCGTCACAGAGAGGGAGAGAGAGAGAAAGAGGTATCTTCCATCTGCTGGTTCACTACCCAAATGGTGGTGACAGCTGGAGCTTGGACAGTCCAGGAGCCAGAAGTTTCTTCTGGGTCTCCCACGTGGGTGCAAGGACCCAAGGACTTGGGCCATCTTCCACTGCTTTCCCAGGCACATTAGCAATGAGATGGATCGAAATCGAGCACCTGGAACTAGAACCAGCAGCCACATGGGATGCTGGCGCTGCAGGCAGCAGCCCAACCTGCTACGCCACAGAGCCGGCCCCACCTGTTCATTCTTTAAAGCCCAGGTCAGACACAGCCACATCCTAGTCCTCTTTCTTTGTCCTCTCTCCACACCTGTTCCATAGCCCATACTTCATTAAAATACACGCACTTGTTTCTGCAAGTGGAAGGGAAAAAAACCTTAAAAGCAAGAGCTTACGCCATTGTCCTAAAGCCACAGAGGGGCAGTGTATCGCAAGAGCTAGAACAGTCATCCAAAAGGCAGCTCCTCTCAAAGACAGATCATGGCCAGAGCCACACTTACACTTAAAGATATATATCTGTGTCTCACTTCTACTTACTGCATGAATATAAAGGAATTCTTCTTTTAAAGAGAAATCACCTATGACCCCATCACCTTGCCAGATCCACTTTTCTCACTGCCCATGTCTCCTGTCAGTTCAATGACACATGTCCAATCTGTACATCCACACATTCCTCCAGGGAGCCTGCAGTGCTACAAGGGCTGCCCAATGCAGCCCTGCCACCAGTTTTTATAAATGAAGTTGTGTTGGAACAAAGAGATACTCATTCTCCTACGTTTAGTTGATGGCTGCTTTTGTGTTAGAACAGCAGAGATGAGCAGCTGCAAGGGAGACTGTAGGGCCTAAAATACCATCTGGGCCTTTACAGAAAGTCTGCCAATACCTGACCAAATCCATTCACATTCCCCACATCCACTCCCCACCCTTCCTATACACTGAGAAACGGAGAAGCGACCAGAGACTTCCAAGGACGCCGCACACCGTATCTACTCTCTTCATCCATTTAAACCGTGACTGCTTCCTGATTTGGTGGATGACTGCCCATGCCTGGTTCTGGCCACGTTTCCAGTTGTGGGCTAGATCCCACCTTCCCTTGCCTACTGTGCCCAGAAGTTTTCACCTTTTCTTCCACTAGATTGTTCCTATCAAATTACAATAAACTGCAAGATCTTAAATCTTAAAAAAAAATATGTTAAATCTTTCTTGCCTCCACATCTCCCTCTTGGGAATGCTGCTCAGGACAGCAGTCTTCACACAGTGTCTACTGAGGGTTCCTTCCCTTCTTCTCTTAAACTCACTCCAATCAGGCCTTCTCACTCCTCCCTGACATTACGGTGGATTTTGTCAAGAACACTAATGAGCTCCTTGTGATCCATTCTTAGTCTTCATTAACTGACATCAATCCCTCTATCTCTTTCCAGGCTTCTAGGACACCGTTCTCTCTTGGCTGTCTTCTGTCTCACCAGCAAAAGCAGTTTCCTTGGCTATTGTCCTCATCTTCCCAGTCTCTCAACATCAAGGCCAAAGGTTCAGTTCAGGGGGCTTCACCCCTGATCCAGCTATCTTTACTCCTCGAGAATCGCATCCAGTCTCACTGCTTTTAATCTCACCAGCATGTTTATAACTCTCGACTTCCAATCTCTAGTTAAGACCTCTCCTCTGAAGTCCAGATCCCTGTCCACCTTAATATCTAGTTGGTTCTGTAATGGGGACGGGCATCTCAACCTGAAAATGTCAATAATTCTCTTACAAAATTGCTCCTCCTGTCATCTTGAGCTTTCCAACTGCCTGCATCCAAAACTTTGGATTATCTTCAACTCTTAATCTCTCATGCCCAATATCCAAACCATCAACAGACCTTCCAAAATATGTCCAGAACACAGTCACTTCTTCCCACCTCCATCCTGGTCTAAGCCACCATCACCTCCAGCTGAGACCATTCTGCAGTTTAACCCCTGCATCCCTTTAACAGAATTTTCTCATAGAACCCAAAGCAATCCCTTTAAAACAGATGATGCCACAGCTCCACTCAAAACCCTCCCAAGGCTTCCCAACTTACAGCAAAAACTGAAGCCCTTCCAAGGGCTCACAAGGCCCTGTGTGAAGCTGCACCCCCTCCCCACCTGGGATTTTCTCTCCCTGCTCCCTTTCTCCGGGTACACTGGCTTCCCAGCATCCACCAGGCTGCTTCCGCCCTGCTCTGATTTCAGCTCACAGGTCACTTTGGGCAACAAAGCTTTCTCTAACCCCAAATTGCCAACTGCCCACTCCACCTCCCAAACACGCAGTCTATCTCCCCAGCCACCCTTCCTGTTCCCTTTAAGGCTTCTCTGAGATACTACAAGTGCATGTCTATATATTGTTTGCTTCCCCCCAGTCAACATATGAGCTCTATTAGGAGAGAGACACTGCCTGACCAGTCTATTCCCCTACTGCCTAGAACAATATTTGACACATAGTAGGTACAAAATAAATATATTTTTAAATGAAATGAATGAATCTGAAAGATGACTTAAGTATAAAATTGTCTGTAAATTAAATAACCTTGAAAATTCATTTGAAATATATTTTAGTAGTTTGTATGTCTCGTTTAACATCAGTGTTGTTCCTTACCCGAAGTCTCTATGTAGTAATGGGTGATTGCCTTCCAGTGATAAACAAAATCTTCTTGTAGAGGAAGAGAAGGTGCAAGCTACACAAACACAGAAAAAAGACCACAACAATTAAGAAAATGGCATTAACTGTTTCCCATGAGGTTATAACAATATTTGTCTGTTATGACGTTAAAGCAGCATAAAAATAAGAGGTGAGCTGTAACTTTACATGTCAGATATTAAAGAGAAACAAAATGAGTTAAATCCAAGAAAGTAAAAATGATCTATTAAGGAAAAGGAAAAATACATTTATCAATATTATGATTATACCACGATACTGGGCTAATTTCTCCTCTCATAAAAACTAGTGGCCACACATGGCTTCAAAAGCAACCATGCTTTAACATAAGAGTGGGAATAAGAGAGGGAAGAGATGTACAATTTGGGACATGCTCAAGCTGACTTGCCCCAAATGGTAGAGTTAGAAACATACCAGAGGACTCCAATTGTACCAATGCCATCACTAGTCCAAGTGATCAATTTCAGTTCACAATTGATCATAATGAAAGGACTAAGAGTCAAAGGGAGCACATAAACAAGTCTAGTACCTGCTAATACTAACTGATAGAATAAATAAAGGGGAGAGTGATCCAACATGGGAAGCGAGATACTCAGCAGACTCATAGAATGGCGGATGTCCTAAACAGCACTCTGGCCTCAGAATCAGCCCTAAAGGCATTCCGATCTGGCTGAAAAGCCCATGAGAGTATTTCAGGCATGGAAAGCCAAGACACTCTGGCAAAACAAAACAAAACAAAACAACAACAACAAACAAACAACAACAAACACCTAAATGAAAGAAAGATCTCTGTGAGTGAGATCCCAGTGGAAAGAACAGGTCTTCAAGGAAGGAGGTACCTTTCTCTGAAGGGAGGAGAGAACCTCCACTTTGACTATGACCTTGTCTAAACAAGATAAGAGTCGGAGAACTCAAGGGGCTTCCATAGCCTTGGAAACTCATGACTGGTGCATAGGGAGATTACTGATGCCATAAACAGGAGTGTCAATTTGTAAAGTCAACAACAGGAGTCACTGTGCACTTACTCCTGATGTAGGATCTCTGTCCTTAATGTGCTGTACATTGAGACTTAATATTTCACTTTGTGTTTCTATGGGGGTACAAACTGTTGAAATCTTTACTTAATGTATACTAAACTGATCTTCTGTAAAAAAAAAAAAAAAGAAAGAAAAGAAATTATCAATTCCCAACTTGACTCTCACTGGGATTAAACATGACAATAGGTCTGATCTGATTTCATCATCATTTAAAAAATCATCTATTATTTTTCACTTTATGTTCTGTGTGGGAGCAACTGTTGAAATCTTTACTTAATGTATGCTAAACTGATCTTCTGTATATAAAGAGAATTGAAAATGAATCCTCATGTGAATGGAAGGGGAGAGGGAGTGGGAAAGGGGAGGGTTGTGGGTGGGAGGGACATTATGGGGGGGAAGCCATTGTAATCCATAAGCTGTACTTTGGAAATTTATATTCATTAAATAAAAGTTAAAAAAAATGATGAGAATAATTTAGCATATTAAAGCATTTTTATACTATTTAAAAAAAAAGCAACCATGCTTAATGAAAACACACTAATATTCTATTACTGAGATATCAAATGAAATTGCTGATAACCAAGGATCTTTGTACCAAGGACTTTGAAATATAAAATAGTAACAAGCTGGTAGTAATTTATTACACATCTCCACTACTAGAACATTTACCAAAGTCAATTTCGTAATCAGATTAACGCTGTTCTCCATGTTCAGTGACACACAGATGCAAATCTTCTCTTTTTTAAGCCTGGATTAGGCAGAACATATTTATGGCCATGTAACTACAAGAGCTACCAATTTAAATTCCAGAATCAAAAATGTTTCACATTTTAGCTTTGAAAATTATTTCAGAAGTTTTTAATACCAAAACTGTATCCTTCAGCCATCTCATAGAAAACCTATCAATATTTCAAATGTGTGTTAAATGGATAGAAAAGGGGCATAGTGAGTTAAGTGGAGAGTTGTGGCACAGTGTGTTAAGTCACAGCCTGCAATGCCTGCATCCCATATGAGCACCAGTTCGAGTCTTGCCTGCTCCCTGCTAATGCATCTGGGAAAGCAACAGAAGATGGCCCAAGTGCTTGGGTCCCTGTCACTTATGTAGAAGACACGGATGGAGTTCCAGGCTGCTGGCTTCGGCCTGGCCCAGCTCCTGCCATTTGAGGAGTGAACCAGCAGACAGAAGACCTTTCTGTCTCTCACTCTCACTAACTCTACCTTTCAAACAAATAAAATCAATCTTTTTTTTTTTTTCCAATGGATAGGAAAGACTTAGATGTATCTCCTAAAACATTTTCTTTCCTTAAAAACAGAGAAAGAGTGACAGTCCCTCTGGTCTCAGCGCTGTCAATTAATTTTGCTGATAAAGTACAGAGTTGATTCTACTTAGCCAACAAGAGATAGGTTTCTATTCTGGGAGCCTAAGAAACGGCAGCGTAATCTTCCCTCTTCATACACTTCATCCTGGCAGATGACCTGGGAGAGGTCAAGTTACCCCTGTGCCGCAACTTGTTTTCAGCTCTGGACGTCCTCAGTAGTGACCTCGAGGCTGGCAGCCCTGTCAAAATGATTTCCAAACTACTGTGCAACTTATCAACATTGGTCACAGACATCTTAAGTGCTTCAGTACAGAGATGAAATGAATTAACAACAACAAAAAGGACCTGATGGCATTTCAGTGACCATCACACCACGCTAGCTGTTCTAGTTTTGCTCATTCACACTGCTGTGAATAATGGGACTGAAATAAGAGAATATAAATATTAACCTCATTTTCGAATAGAATTCCATGAAATCTTTAAAAACAAGGCTTTAAGAAAAGAGTTAAAACCTTTGGGTGTACTCTACTTCAGGGAGAACATGGGGAGAGAAACTACTCACAGAAGACAGAAAAAAATTAGGAAGAAAATTAAGAATGAAAGTATTAATTTGGGAGAACAAAGTTTCAGATTAAAAAATGTTTTAATCAGTGACTTATTTTTAGGATTCTCTTCAAAACACGTAAAACTCTCCTCCTCCTCTGGACCCAGCATCTCTAAACTGGCCTTGTGGAGTTACATGTATTAAGGGGTGGGACAGACTCAGATGAATTGTGTTGTATCAAGAAGTGTACCTGGCTTCCCAAGCGATTCAGAAATACTGTCATTTGCTCAGTTTTTCTAAGGGGCTCTCCTGGGTAAGTAAGGGAGCAAAGCAATTTTTTCCCCACATTATGTCACCAGAGGGGTTCAACTGGATTTTGAGTGTAAGTCACAGAACCAGAGAGACTGTAAAGGATTTGTGCCAGGACCTTGGCTGTAAATTAGTCACATCCAAAGCAGGATGGAGTCGGTTACTTTGTAGAAACCTCTCTCCCAGGAGTTAGAATTAAATTAGAAACCTACTTCTCTGCTAAGTGGAGAGCTAAACAGTTCTAAATTGCTCATAACTCGGATTAGTAACAATCTCATTCAAATCCAAATCCATTTCCATATTTATGTAAAACATCCTACTAGACTCGCTTCTTTCCTTAATAATTCTAACATGCAAATGACCTGTTCTATCACTGTATAAAAACATTTATGCTCTGGGTTTAAAAAAAGGAAGTGATGTGTAAATCAGCAGCAAGGTATCCTAATTTAACTTTCAACAATGCAGAGATTAAAGTTTTTAATTCATGCAATCACTCTCTCCACCAGATGCATCACCAGGCATCGCTTTCACTAGGAAGCTCTGCCCGCCTCTTCCTGCCCAGGACAGAGCCCCTCCCCCGCAGGCCCTGGCCCCCTCTGCCAGTCTGTTCCCTACTCACTCACCTCCTCCCCTAGACTGTAAACTCCATGAGGGCTGGGACTGTCACTGTTGTCCTCACCGGCTCTCCAGTTAGCAATGACAGAGTCAGCACTCACCAGTGTCCTGGCAGCACTCAATGACACAGAGTAAACCGACACACACTGCTCTTAAATTCTCACCGTAAGTTCATTTTGCTCATACTCCAGTACTCCATACTCCCGAACCAGTTCGCTGACTTGCTCTACAAAACACTGCTTTTACCTAGAAACCTAGAATTTCTCCCAAATGTACACCACACTAAAGGATCTACACGGACAAGGAGACGAAAATCAGTGTTCCAAAAGCCACCTCTGCCCCACGTCTCTCCTGTATCATGGCCATTCCATGCCCGGGGTCTTTAAAAGTTCTTCTTTCGCCTCTGAATGTTGCTAATACCCTTTTCCATCTTCTCTGCCTCTCCAAAACCCAACTCAAGTCTCATCTCTGGTAGACACCTTCCAGTCCCTAGTGCTTGCTCCCTTCCTCCGTAACTCACTGGCTGAGCCAATCAGCAATGAGAACCATAGGTCCCACATCCTGACCACTACGCCTGCACATCACCTCATTTAGTCCTCACAATCCTATGAAACAGACTTCATTCCAGGGAACTGAAATATAAAAAGATTGAAGGAATCGTCCCAGGGTACAAGGAAGGGACAGAGGCAGAACTGGAGTGCTATTCTGTAGGGCTCCAGGGGCCAGGGACATTCTTGTGAATTGCTTGTATGCTTTAACTTGTGTATTTGTTCCGTTTCCCAAATTAGACTGCAGGCACTGTGATCCACCCATGATCCTCGCACCGGGCCATGCTCTCATGGAGGCTCCCGAAATGTCTGCTGCATGAATAAAAGGACTAAAGTTCAAGGTCTCGTGATGGAAAAGAATGCACAAAACACTACGTATGTTTGATTGAGGTTCTAATTCCCAAGGCAGGGTAGGCGTTTAAAGCGTACTTGGTCCCAGCAATCATCATCAACTAACTCTCACTCCAATCTCAGGAGAAAGCACTGCATTCGAATTCGGAAAGCCAACTTCTGCTGAGCTGGTTAAAACAGAGAAGGCCTTCTTCCCCGACACAGCCCTTGACACTTTTTGGGAGAAATCTGCCCTCAAGAGGGAACTGGTAGGAACTGAAGAGGAACTAGCCTGAGACTTCTAGGCCCTCCCTAAATACCAGACCGTAGAGTGTTTTATTTGGCCTTTGGCAAAGTCAAAGGCTGAAACAATGTGATCTAACCTCACAACCCCCAGAGCCGCCTGGTTTCAGACTGGTGACACGTGGCAACTGGCAACTGGAACACACCCACTTCCCAAGACTCTACCAAGGGAGGCTCATTTCTGAGGACAGGGGCAAGAGGCACATCCCAGTTCTGCTCAAGGTGTGAACTTCTCTCCTACATTCAAAATGCCTTTATCCGCTTAAGAATACACTTCCAAATATTTATATTTGAAAATATCTTAGTTACATTTTTCTTGTTACAGGCTCTAAATAGGAAGTGAGAAGAAATCATTAAGTAAAAAATAAAGAAAACGCAACACTTATTTAAATGAATATGCATTTAGTCAACTAAAAAAAAAAAAAAAAAGCCCAAGGCTGACCTAAGTGAATAAAGACCTGGAAAGTTGTAGCAGCAAAGGAGAGAAGCATTACTCTGCAGATGCACACAAGCCACAGCTGAACACAGTCACCCGCCAGGTACAGGACTGTCTCCCATCTCTGTAGAGTCCTGGTGATTATGTTAATTAAAATCAAAAGGAGTACACAGGAAAACTAATGAAATTAACAGAGGAATAGCAAGATTCATTCCCAGATGAAAAGATGAAGCAAATAAACAAACAGAACTGAATAACTGGAAACTGATCTTGGGCTATGAACAAACACTCTTCCAGGAAAGGCCTTATTATATATGAATCCCTTCCCAGGAGAGAAGGGTAAGACCGGGCCTAAGTAATCAAACACTTCAGGTAAATCAGGTGGTGTCATAGCTGAAAACACCAGTTCTACGCAAATGAAAACACTGCATCTCCAAACACAAGGCCAGGAGAACATTACCCAACTTTCTCTCACCAACCTCCCCCAAGCAAAGAACCTGGATACCATGGTGCCGGTCAGACTATGCCTAATTTGGTAGATGCGAACATATGCAATTATAAGAACATAATGAGAGAAAACACAGGGCCTCAGGACAAAAATAAGCCATTATTGGAAGAGCAGAAAAGCCATCTTCCTTTTTTCTCAGTACTTATTTCTGTAAATGACAGCCTGAGGTAGCATGGCTATAAATAATGTAATAAACATTTATTCCCACCTACTTCAATATCAAGCCATACTCAGTGTTTAGAAAGTCTTTTTAAAGAATACGAATTATTATAAACATCACTGTTTTATACATCTTAGATTCTTTTAACATAACCATGCTGTTCGAAGATTGCAGAAGGAAAACTAAAAATTGTATCTTAAAAAGACTACAATTTTCATAGTCCTTAACTGTTAACCCTGTTCATTCATGAAACACTGTCTTTCTCGACTTGTTTTCCTAAGAGCTTGTCCTGTGGTTAAATGTCTTAACATTTCCCCTATATCTTAAATAACAACTGTACTCGAGTTTTGTTTTCATTACTGAAGTCAAAAATTTTTATTTTTATTCCGTAGCCAGAAAATTAGGTTATCAATCTTTGCCATTTTTATGGATTTAAAGTGCTCCATGGCACAACCCAAGCGTAGAGAGTGCCATTGTTTTAAATGAGCAAAGTGGTCGTTTCTTCACAGTAGGCGTGTTTGAACTTGGGCAAAGTAAACAAGCAGCGCGACGTAGCCCTTTGATTATGAAAACAGCGGCCAGGCACACTCCGGTTTCCCCGTTCCCTGGAAAATGTGTGTCTCTGCTACCACCCTCCGAGGAGCGCACAATTGCAGGATGGACCCAGAGGGGCCAGGAAGCGCTCTGGACCAGAAAGGAAACAGATGGTCCGAGCTGGGCGGCTCTCGGAGCAAACGCGCCCGGACCCCCAAACTCCGGCTGCAGATCGATCCACGGGGTCCGGGCGAGCTGGGCCGCCGGCGAGGTCCCGGCCAGCGCGCTCACCCCGCGGACCCCCAAACCCGACCCAACCGGCCCAGGCGCCCCGGGGCGCTCCTTTTGTCTGGCTCAAGGCTGACCCCTGCTTCCCGGAGAGGGCTAACGGTCAGGGAGCCCCTGTGGCCCCGCCAGGTGCGCCCCGACCCCCCGGTCCACCTCTGGGGACCCAATTGGGCCTGGTCCTCCGTGTTTACCCGGCCCGCCCCTGACGCTAAAACCTGGAGGCAAGGGGAGGCGGGGGCCGGCTCAGAGCCCTGCCCAGGCCCCGGCGCCCCGGAGCACCCGGCCGCGTCCCGGGGCGCCCTCCGGGCCCTCGTCCGTCCGCGGGGCCGGCAGTGAACGTAGGCCGCCGCCATCCCCGGCCTGCCGTGCGCCCGCAGCCCGCGGCCTTACCGCCTCCACGGCGTGCTGCAGGATGGAGGTGAACTTGGAGAACATCCTGTCCCGGGACTGCAGCAGCCTCTCCCGGGATGACCTGGAGAGCTCCTCGATCCGCCGCCGCCGCCCCTGCTGCGGCTGCCGGGGCCGCTCCAGAGTGAAGGCCGGTGCGGGGCGGGAAGGACGAGCAGAGGGGCCGAGGCAGGGCCCGAGCCGGCCGCCTCAGGTGTGCGCGGACGGCGCGGCGGCTCCGGTGGGCGCCGGGGCGCGGCGGGCGGCGACGAGGGCGGCCGGCGCGGACTCTGGCTCCGCGGAGCTCCGGCGGTGGCGGCGGCGGTGGCGGTGGCGGCGGCGGCGGCGCGGCTCGGCTTGGACACCGTGGCAGCCCGGCCCGGGTTCCTTCCGCCCGCTCTGCCCGCCGCGGCCTGCAGGGGGCGCCGCCGCGGCCCGGGGAGGCCCCGCCAGGCCCTGCCCTGCCGGAGGGCGGGGGGGCGCGGAGGCCGCGGCCGGGCCGGACCCGGCGGGACCCGGTGGGCCTGCCCGAGGCGAGGTCCAGGACCGGTTCCAGCCCCCACCCTATGACTGTTTTCAAGGCTTCAGGAGAACTGCACTCTCCCAAGTTGACAGCGGTCGTTGTGACAGTTTTGTGTCTCCCGGGGGAGTGCGGTGCTGATTTTGTAGGAACCGCAGCCATGCGCGCGCGCGCGCGCGTGTGTGTGTGTGTGTGTGTGTGACGTTCAGCATGTGTGTGTGTGTGTGACGTTCAGCATGTGTGTGCCAGAGGCAGGGTCTGCTAAGGACAGGTTTGAGAGATGGGCAAAGAAACAACCTGTTTTTTCTTTTTTAATTTTTTTTTCCCCTCACGGTATTCTTAAAGCAAAAACGTGAAGAAATCAACTCAGGAGCGTGGCGACATGGCTTGGCTAACCCTAGGATGTTATCACTGAAAAACGTTAAAACAGGAAGTCCCTGATGGGCAAATGGTACTATGGTCGGTGGAGTAATCCGACGTAAGGGTTTCGTTCGTGGCTCATAGTCAGGTGCCACGGTTCAGTGAAGCATTTTCTATCAGGGTGTCAGAGGGTGGTGGGAAACACCAGGCAGAGTCAGGAGGAATTTCTACCAAATGCCTGGGACAGCTACGTGGAGCTACCATGCAGCGCCCGAGGTGGAGGCTAGTTTTGAAAAACTATGCAACAGTGTTCGTGGTCGGGCCTTGCAGAAGCACGGGTAGCTGGTCTCTTAGGTTAGGTTGAAACAACTGGAGAACGTTGTGTTTGCTTCATGCGGGAGTTGGTGTTTTACCGAAAGGACCACTAAGTTCTTGATGAGATGAGGTGGGGTAAGTTTGTGCACAACCAGCGATGAAAACGCATGTGGGTAATGGCTCCTACCGCGCGAGGGGAAAATTAGTATCCACCCATAGAAAGAGATGTGCGGGCATGTGTTGCTGCGTTCTTGCTGTTCAGAACAGTGTTTACCAAAATCCTAAGGCCAGAAATCAAGATTTTTAGAGGCCTGTAACTAGTCTGGCCTTCTTTGCTCCCCACAGCATCCCCACTGTGCTCCATGGCCAGTGACTTTGACCTTCATCTCCTGTGTACCACCCACCCCCCTCAGGTGCTGGGGGCATCCTCTATTACTTGCTAACAATTGCAATGTGTTCCTTACAAAATCTTGGATCACTCTTTCTGCCTCGACCAGGAGCACATATAGTGTTCTTTATTATTATTCACATAGCTCAAGATGGTTAGCCGTATTGTTAACAATAATTATTCTCCCGGACTAATTGTTGTGCATTTTGTATTTTCATAGTACCTTACAACCACTAATTGTATGAGGAGGTCTGTTTAAAGCAGGCTGAGAGCTGTTTGTGTTTGACGATGCGTATCTTTGTATACTTAGTACAGACACAATAAAATACATATTTTGTTCTAGATAAATATCAATATTCAGAATGATGATTCATTTACTTGATATCTGGGTTCCTGGACACATGTATTGGACTGGAATTATAACTGAAGAGATATTTCTATGTCCTATTCTCACCCTAGAATCCTGTAGTGACGCTAACACCATCATCAGCTAATACATGGGTATACTTGTACCCAGCTCAGTAAGCTGTGATTTGAGAAAACACAAGAAGGCTCCTCCTAGTTTCTAAAACACTTAGGTGTAGGAACCTGAACTCCTCAATTAGAACTTTATTCCTCTGGCTTAAGCAAATAAGAAATTTAGTTTCTGTTAAAATTAATATTGGGAGAGATCACATATTAAACTATTATTCATTAAACCTCAGAGTGAATGAGTTTGTTAGATTTTCTTTTTTTAAAAGATTTATTTATTTATTTGAAAGAGTTACACAGAGAAGGTGAGTTAGAGAGAGAGAGAGAGAGAGAGAGAGAGAGGTCTTACATCTGCTGGTTCACTCTCCAATTGGCCAGAAGGGCTGGAGCTGTGCCGCTCTGAAGCCAGGAGCTAGGAGCTTCCTTTGGGTCTCTCACGTGGGTGCAGGGGCCCAAGGACCTGGGCCATCTTCCACTGCTTTCCCAGGTCATAGCAGAGAGCTGGACGGGAAGTGGAGCAGCTGGGACTTGAACCAGTGCCCACATGGGATGCCAGCACTGGAGGCGGCGGCTTTACCTGCTACACCACAGCGCTGGCCCCACAGATTGTTTTCTAAAATGAAATTTGGAGCCGGCACTGTGGCATAGCAGGTAGGGCCGCCGCCTGCAGTGCGGGCATCCCACATGGGCGCTGGTTAAAGTCCCAGCTGCTCCATTTCCAATCCAGCTGTCTGCTGTGGCCTGGGAGAGCAGTGGAAGATGGCTTAAGACTCTTGAACCCACGTGGGAGACCCGGAGGAGGCTCCTGGCTCCTGGCTTCAGATCAGCGCAGCTCCAGCCATTGCAGCCATCTGGGGAGTGAGCCAGCAGATGGAAGACCTCTCTCCCTTTCTCTGTAACTTTGCCTTTCAAATGGATGGATATGTCTTTGAAAAAATAAATAAATAAAATGAAATTTAACTAGTGAAGACACAGAACACCTTAGAAAACAGAAGCCCAATTGGAATGGAGTTGAGAAGACAGAAAATAGAAGTGGGGTTAGATGGTACCTGTTTCCAAAGTTAGACAGACTTCTGGGTAAACATGTGGGCTGAACACATGAAGTTAGCAGCATTCTCCACCCAAAACCAACAAGATGGCAGTAAATTTTGTTCAGCATATAAACCAAAAAGAACGAATAAATTGGTAGAGGAGGTAACAGACACAGAGCCTTGAGAATAGAAGATTAAGTGATGTGGCTGACCCAAAAAAGCTCATTCCTAAGACAACAAGGAAGAAAACCAGGAATCAAAGCAATATATTGATAGGAAGGTACTTCAAAAAGTCTGTGCAAAAATGGAACTAAAAGATAGTTTTTGGTGCCAAAGTTTTTGAAATCATATACATGAGGAGGGAGTTTTCCAAGAGTTCATGGAAACCATATATTAAGGAAAAAAACTAGGGCCAGCGTTGTGGCATAGCAGGTTAAGCCTCTGCCCATGCATGAACTTCAAAAACTTTTTGTACCAAAATGTCCTTTTTTATGATTTATTTTTATTTATTTGAGAGGCAGAGTTATAGAAAGAGAGAGAGAGTGAGTCTTCCATCCGCTGGTTTACTCCCCAAATGGCCACAAACGGACAGAGCTAGGCCAGGCCAAAGCCAGGAGCCAGGAGCTTCTTCTAGGTCTCCCACGTGGGTGCAGGGGCCCAATCACTTGGGCTGTCTTCTGCGGCTTTCCCAGGTGCATTAGCAGAGAGCTGGATGGGAAGTGGAGCATGAACTGGTTTTCATATGAGATGCTGGAGTCACAGGTGACTGCCTAATGTGTTACACCACAATGCCAGCCCCCATATCCTTAATTTTTTAATTCCATTTTCCCGTGAGCTTTCTGAAGTACCCTTGTACACCCACAGAACTGCTCATTGGCTCTGGAAGTAGAGGTAAAAAGAGACCAAAAATGTCAGAATGGATTGAAAGCTTACCTTTTCCCATCCACAAGGTTGTCTGACTACCCCGTCTGATCCTGGTGGGAGGTTAGAAAAACTAATTACTGACAGGGGTTGCGTACTGGGGGGGAGGGTGGCATTGGAGAGTGGGGAAGAGGATAAAATGAAAGTAAACACTGTGGAAGGTGAGACACACATGCACACCCTCATCCTCTTCTTGGCTCCCATGATAAAGGCATCACACTGACCCACACAGGTTGATAGCAGAGGTCTTTTTTGGAACCCGAGTAGCCCAAGAGAAGAGATCCGATGACAATGATGGAGGTGATAGAGGTGATAGAGGTCTGAGAGGTGACCCTAGGGGCAGGTCTGCAGACCACAGGGGGCGTGCCCTGAGACAAGAGTTCCGAGAGTGGGTTATTGAAGCTGAATTTGACCTGTCCTCCCTCTGCTTCCTGGCTCACCACGTGACTGTCGCTCTGCACCTGTGCTCTGCCATTGCTGCCTCCACTAAATCCCAGACTAATGGTGCCGGATTTGAACTGTGACCTGAAATAAACTTCCTCCTTCCCAAGACGCTCCTCTCAGGTGTTTGGGTTACAGTAACAGAAAGCTGACTAATACACACCTCTCTCAGGAAGATCTGTCAGTGTAGGGGTCGCCAAATTTGAGGAAGCTTAAAACAGGGTTTCTTGCATTGAATGGGTAAGGAGAGATGGAAAGATACTAATGAGTATCCTCAGGAATGAAAAGAATATATTGCATCCATAGAAAAACACTAGTGTACTAATCCTAAAGAGCATTTAGAAAAGAAAAAAGCAACTCCTAGAAATCAAGAATATGATAACAGAATTAAAAACATTAAATAAAAAGGATGGAAAACAAACTTGAAAATGTCCCCCAAATATAGTACAAAAGTGATATAACGATAAACATTGGAGGAAATAAGATTTTAAAAATTAGAGGTCAGTCCAGGGGATCTAACACCTGAATAATTAGAGACAATAGAGGGAGGAAGTCATTAAAAGAATACTCTGATAAAATTTTACAGATTTAAAAGATGAGTTTCCAGATTGAGAGAGCCTATTAAATACCAGAACAACTATTGAGAAAAAAGTTCACTTTAGTACCCATTATTGTAAAATTTCAGAACATGGGGTTCAAGGAAAGATCTTGCCACACTTCCAATGACAAAGAAACAAAAATAAGTTTCTACAAGAATCAAGAATTAGTGCATTATACTTTTCAACAACACAGGAAGTGAGAAGGCATTGAGGCAATGCCTGCAAAATTCTGGGGTAAAATTATTCCCAACCTAAAATTCTATACTAAGATGAGAGTCAATCAAGTGTAAGGATAAAATAAAAATAAATCATTTCGGATGTTCAATAAACTAA